CTTTCCCAACAGCAGTAGTTTTTTATTTTTGCAGTGAAGAAAATAAACTTTTTCATGCAAGTCCAAAGTATGTTATTTTCTGGTGGTTAGTTACTGTCACCCAACAGTATAATTAAAAAAAAAAAAAGAAAAAGTAAAAAAATTGTAAGTTTCCAAGTGAAGCTGCATCTTGGCAAGCATCAAGAAATATGGTTTAAAGAAAGCTTGTTAAAGGATTACACACACATCAGGATTGAATTGGCAGTTTCTGTGGACACAGACATCGAAACTGTCTGTGTTTTTTTTGCAGTCCTCAGAATCTTCATCAGCTTTTCCCACAGAAGTGGCTGGAATGCAAAACTCAGTACTGGGAGTGATCATCTCCAAATGAGAAGAGAGTGCTTTCAAAGGACCAGTTCAAAGCATAAAACAGTGGCTTACACTGTCTTCCTCCAGAGGGGGCAGTGAAGAAATCATCAGTAAGTATGATTTCTGTTCCTGTTGGAAACCAAATCTGGAAAATCCTGGTTTAGCCAAGTATGAAAGTCTCCTTTTGATCACAGCCAGCTGTGAGAAGGAAGATAAAACAGTCAGGGACAAGACTGCCACTCCAGGGCTCATGAAAACTGTATCTTGTTTAGAGTTACAGTTACAGCATCAGTCTGTAAGTCTTAATGGATGTGCTTGGATGTGCAAACGTATTAAAAACAATAATTTAAAAACACACTCCCCAGATGGGATTGGAGATGATGAACATGGTAGTTCGCTAGCAGTTGAGTTACACATGTTACAAAGACAGTGTGCCTGCTCCTCTAAAGGGGCTTTACGTGTTTGTAAGGAATTCAGACCTTGACAGCAGGTGTCTGAAGCTTTAAATGTTTTGAAAATTTAGGGGGGGAGAAAGTGCAGAAACAAGGCATAAGAATGCTGTTTATAAAATTGAATTTAGAGACCCTTTTTTAAAAAATTACTTTGAAACAATTTTTTCTATGTTTTGTACTTTATCTTCACACATTTTACATCTTAACGTATGTTTTCATCCTCAGTTTCTTTGGTACCTTCAGTTAGAAAGCTTAAAAAAACCCCAAAACTATCTTCTTCCAGAAAAAACAAACAAACAAGCAAACAAACAAAAAAAACCTGCAAAAAATCCCCAACATTTTTCTTCCAGGCAGTTGAAAAAGAGAAAACCAAACAACAAAAAACCCCTACAAACAACAAACCAGCAAACCAAAAAGACACATTGAAAACAACACCCACTGCCAAAGAAAAAAAACCCAAGGAAAGAAAATGATTAAAATAGGAAGATAAAAAAGACAAAGTTACAGAAGAATAAAGAATACCACTTTGATAATTTTATTATTCAATATGAAATATTACTAAGGTACTTGGATAGTAATGAAGAAAATTGTACTTACAATTGGCTGCCTTTAGCCTTACATCTTCCGAAGTCTCTTTGTTAGAGCTCTGGCTGAGATACTTAAGCTAAGGGGCTACAAAAGAGAGGTCAAATCATATGAAAAGACAGCTTAAGATGCACAGGACTGGCATCTGTACTGTATTTCAAAAAATACTGCCTCACTAAAGAAAGAGAAATAGGCATATTTCATGGGGAGCACACAAGGAAAAGTAGTTGAATTTTGAGCTTTGTAGGTCCTCAAAGTCACACTCACACCTTCTGAAGATGGAAGAGGTTGTGTTCAGTGACGGAAAAAGCTACTTTAAAGACCCTACACGGGCTTCAATAAAGTGTGTGTGACATTGGAATGGGGACCTGAGCGAGTGGTATTGGAACATGAACCTAAGCTAAGTCTGTGCTACAACTTGTAAACTTCTGTAAGATAAAGGAACAAAGCTTCGATCTTACTGACTACCCACACAATAAATTCAGCCCTGAAACTTACTTTAGAGATCACAGTGTACAGCTTTGCATGAGGCAGAAGAGGTAAGGCATTAATAGAATCACAGAATGGTTTGGGTTGGAAGGTACCTTAAAGATCATCAGGTCCCAATCCCCCTGCCATGGGCAGGGACACCTCCCACTACACCAGGTTGTAGATCAGGCTGCTCTGATCCTCAATTGCAGTATTTTCAAATATGCTAAAATAATGGAAGGGCTGTTCTTTCTCTGATATATAAAGATAAAACAAATAGAAGGAAGACAAGTTCAGAAGGTGCTCCAAGTTGAAAAGGGCCTGCTGAGAGAAATACCTTTCAAGGACCAACTACCTGTACCCTCCTGGAAAATTTTAATGTGTCATTTAAGGAATTAGCCTGTTTGAGTGGGTTTCTCAGCCACCATCTAAAATTGAAGGTAGAAAAAAATTCCACTAACTGTGGAGCATCTAGTACTAGTCAGAGTTGACCAAAGAGAAAAAGTGTCAAGACTATATACATGGTTGGTCTGTGAAGTTTGGTGTGGATGACTTGACAGCTCCACGCAGACTTAGTGACAACTTCTGCCCAAATTATTTCACACAGAAGGGAAGGAATGGAGTCCTCTCTCTCTCTCTCTCGAAGGGAAATACCTTGAAAATAAATTTGCTTTCTAGTTAAAATCATAATCCTGCCCCTTCTTTGTGGTGTTCTGCTTTTCAAATACCACTGATACTTCTAGCAGATAGACCACTGAAGGAATTGGCTATATAAGGAATAAATATCTTCCTTTCCAGAAACTCCTGACACCTTGACACAAGTTTGCTAACTTTGACAAGCTGGGTTCCAAAATAATCTGTTAAAAGTCTGAGTGTTCTGACCTGATACTGAGCTGGTCAGGATGGAGAATTTTACACAATGTGTAACTGCTGTGTTTTGTTTGTTTGTTTGTTTGTTTTTTGTTGTGGTTTTTTTGGTTTTGTTTTGTTTTGAAAATGCCACTGTGTACATTGCAGTTTTGTCGTTTTGTTTTTTTTTCCAACCAGTACTTTTAGACAGCAAATAACAAGAGATGAGCAGTGATCCAAAGCACAGAGAACTTGGCAATACATGAAGCTGACCCGCAGCTTTGTTTGTGGAGATGAAGCAGGACCATTCAGAACTGCAGTGGTGCATCAGAAAGGAGGTGTTCAAGTCTGAATTTGAATTTGAAAATCCATCTCCACAGAGGACTGCTCAGAATCAAAAAAGCTCTCATGAATCTCAAAATAATGGATTTTCTCAAGGAATCATTACACTTTGCTTGCCTGTGCTCACAAAGCACATTCAGTCTAAGCAGGAAGCACAGACCCATTGCATTTCTCCTCTACTGTATTTCTTACAGGGATTGAAGTGCAGGTCAGGTTCTGTATCATTTCTGTACAAGCATAACCCTTAAAAGGAGAACTAATGTGAATTTAAAGACAGAAAGAAGGCTGTTGCCCAAAGGAACTGCAAGTCTTTGGTCTGTGCTTGTCAAGTCAAATTGAGAAGCAGACAAATCTTGTCTCTCAAAAATAAATGAATGTACTGACAGACTTGGGCTGTTTCCAACAAACTTTTGTAGCCCTCTGTGGGTGGGAGGAGAATAGCAAGTAAGAGGCAGGTAAAACAAAGCCAGAAGCTACTGTGGGAGAAGGTGAAGGGGGAAGTGCATTGAAAATGAGCTGATTGAACAGAAATGGTGATGTGGGAGTGAGGTTTACAGCCAGAGCTCACAGCTGAAGGGATGCCCCATGCAACAATGTTAAGTGCTTGTAACTACAGCTTCCCAAGGACAGTGGATACATTAACAACTCCGTTAGTGACCAGCTTAATAATCAATCCCCTGAGGATGTGGAAGTCAGCTGAATCACTATTCTAGTGTTAAGAGATTCAGAATTCTTGTTTACCGAACAGAATCATGATGGAGAAAAGTTCTTTTCAAGCCAAACCAAAATTCTATAAATAGACACTGACACAAGGAGAAATCCTTGCCATGCTGTGTCACGACCTGTGACTGGGGCAGTTACATTGGTGATGTAGTTTTGACATCCCCTTGATGGAGGGTTGTGAAACACACCCCTGAACAACCACCCGCCGGAGCCAGCACAGCTCTGCCCTCCCACACCCTCCAGCTCCCTCAGACCAACCAACCCTCAGGAGGGTTCTTGATTGCAGGAGGATGTTTGCAGGAAACATCGACTTGGGTAGCTGCCAGCAGTGTATGCATGCATGCCAATGGGAGCTATTCCTTCCTAATACAGGGAAATCTAAAACCAGGTGGGAAATGGCATTGGAATCAGTTAGAAATAACAGTTATGGCTGATGGGTTGAACACAGACTGGCTGGAATTCTCTCAGAATAATCCAAAATTTGATTCCCTGGATACCTCAACAGGTGTCCTAGGCATAATTTGAGCATTGTGAGCACCCTGAGAAAGTGAAGTCTATGTGTATTCTAGGATAGTATTCTAGGATAGATTCTAGGATAGTATTCTAGGATAGATTCTAGGATAGTATTCTAGGATAAAAACTTGCAAGTTTCCTTTTGGAAGGGTCCAAACGGAACTCTTGAAATATTTATTTTAAATAAATGAAATATGAAAATACGATTAATTCATTTGTATATAACAACAACACTTTAATATTTAGTCAAGGAACCATGAGATCTAAAACCTCACCACTTACAGCAAGCTCATTACAACTCAGCACGTCAAGAGAACAGATTCTCTGAGGGATACAGGAATGTGGGAGTGCGGCGCGGCTCGTGGGCGAGCAGCAGCACGCGAGGATCTGCAGGACCTGTGCCAGGGGATCTCACTGTCTCTAGGGGCTGAGGCTTCTGGAGTGCCAGGCAAAGCCTCAGGTGTTTGAGTTCAGCTCCACTGGTATCAGCCTGGGGACGGGAGCTCAAACGTGTCAATTCACAGCAAGGATGGGCTGAACTTGATCCATCACCCCAGAACAATGATAAGCTCCTGCACCAAGGCAGAAGGTACTGCTGTGTAATTAGCACTAGGTGAGTCAGACTCAATTAAAACTTTTTGCCATGAGCCACAAACACATTTTAAGAACTATTTCAGTGCTACAAAGTATTTCCTGTTAGAGCTTATGATCAGCACAACCTAAATATCCACAGTGACAATATCCTCACTAATGACAACAAAGTAGCCAAACAAAGGCTGCAATTTGACTCAAATTTTTAACATTTTAAATTGCTTTTTTAATGGTCACACCTCACTAAAATACTTACACTGCATATTGCCCATGCCTACTTTAGAGTTGTTAATATAAGCAATAAAGAACCTCAAACAAATACAAAAGAGAATTACTGAATAATTTAAAAAAATAATTATTTATAGTTAAAGATTTGTCAAAAACTATTGTGATCTTTAAAGCTGCAGATACTGAAAATAATAATTACTCTGCAAATTTACAGTACTGAAGTGGAAGATTAAAAATAATAATTTCATTCTTATTTAGATTGTGGAAGCGTCTGTGTTTTCTTAAAGTACAATATGGCTAGTGTTAATTCTAAAAAGCTTGTCGATATCCCTTTGTTACATAAGCTACTGCAACAAGCTTTAATGTACAGAACCTGTACTCAAAAGGAAAAAGCAGTAATAATAATAATAAAACCCACACTGATTGTTACAGTTATGTATGTAAAAATCTACAGACATGCAGTGAAAAATACTATAGAGCTATGTCAACATGGAGGAGTAAAATTCTGTCACTGTATCCATGACTGCAGGGCAGCACTTCTTTAAAAAACAAACAAACAAAAAAACACACAAAAAAAAACAAACAAGGAAACAACAAAACAACCTTTTTTTGTTTAGGGAAAAAAAAAAAAAAAAAGTAGAAAAAGTCTCATCTGGGTATGTGCTGCTGCCAGTGATGTGGCTCATGCTGGTGACTCTGTGACAGCTGCTCGGTGGCCGAGCACTGTCCCCTCTGCAGCTGCAGCCTCAGGCTTCTGCTGCTGACCCCTGCAAACCATTGGTCCTACACACACCCAAGGGGAATTCCTTTCCCAAAAATTAACACTACCACCTCTCTCACCCGGGTATTACTCTGGATGGCACAGAAGGGGAAAATTCAGCTCTTAACTAGTGAGAACCTTATTCAATTCACTAAGTAATTAACTTAGTAAGTGTATATTATAGCCAACCGGCTCTCATCAGGGTGTGCCCTGTGGCATCTCGCACAACATAGTGATGGTCCACGTCTTCTCAACTAAGACAACTGCAGACTTCAGGTTTCTATTGTTTAATTATATATATATTTTTTCTGATTATTTAATTCCAATAAATACCAAACAAATCAAAATAAAAAACTTTCTTTGCTTTTGGGAAAGCCACATGACCAGGACACAACTTTTATCAACAAGGAAATATTTGTATTACTTACTAAAAATAGGATGCTTTAATATAAATAGCATGAGAAACAGCTAACAGACAACTTCATTTTCAACAGCATCTGTATGAAATTCTTGGGTTTTATCATCTGGGAGTTTCCAGCCCTTCCTAGCAACATGTGACATGTCAAACAACCCCTCTATTCTCAAAGTATGAATTTGCCACTATAAAAGCTGCTCCTGGCCCTGAGAAATGTATTATTTTGTTGCTTGTCACAGAAATGTTGTGTTTCCAGAGCAGCAGAGGAATGACTTCTGCTTTTCCTGCCCCTCCCTACTGTCACAACACCTGTCTTAGCCCAAGATATGCCCCTTTGTGCAGCAAAGAAAACACCATTAAACAGTGACAACAAAACAGGTGCTAAAATATTTCTGCTCAGAAATATTCCAGTGATGAAACAACAAAAAGGCATTTCCCATAGGAACAATTACTAACTACATTCTGAGGAGTTATCAATCATCTCAGTTTCAAGTTTTAGTAGTACAGGAGAATAGTTTGGAATGCTGTTACTATTCCTCACAAACCAAGTAACATTTCAGAATTCTGTAAGCTATTTTAATAAAAGCAGCCTCCTAACACAAATTACATTTTTAAAAGGAAAGAAACAAAGATTTACTGATTGAAGAACACTAGTTACATTTGAAAACACAGCAGGGTTTAATAATCCCCTAAAAAGTTTAGCTGTTTTTAGTTTTACATTTAAAAACACAGCAGGGTTTAATAATCCCCCCAAAAAAAGTCTAACTGTTTTTAGGTTTTGGTGTGTGTTTTTTTTTTTTTCCCCTGCTTGCAAACATCCATTCTCACTCTCTGGGAAGGCAAACTGCTTGTGCCAGGCTGTGGCAATGCAGCTGAAGAAAATGCTTCCAGAAGCTTTCAACAGCATCTTTCTTCAATTTACAAAATGTGAAAACACCTTCAATTAGTAAAAAAAATAGGCTAATATACAAACATTTATTTAAAAAATTCTTTAGTGAAGGAATGTGGTGTAATTACCCAGACTCATACGCACTCACTCCTCAGATACTGGCAGCTACCTCCTCTTGACACAAACCTCTCTGTTCTAACCCAGAGAGATGCACACATGGCCAGCTGGCCCAAGCAGAATAGCCATTCAGCTCTCCCCAGGTTTAAACTACCATAAGGTACCATTTGGACAGCATGAGAAAGAAATTGAAGCATACAAGGAATAAACTATAATTTCTTTTTATATCAAAATGTACTCTTTAAAATGTGTTTGGCACAGTACTAAATCATAGTTTATACTAAATATTGCAGGATACAATAAAACCCTGGAGTTAACTTGTGTTTACACCCTTTAAGGGATAAAAAGATACCAATTATTCAGAAGTCAGCCTATACAAACTGTATAAACAATACTTTATGTCTTGTTTTGAAAACCACTGTTATAGTAAATTTTACATAAAAGACTGCAAAATAATATAAATGGATTTAAACAAATCTTTACAATAAGAAATTCAAATGGAAACAGACAAGTAACAAAGAGAAGTAAAAAAATTTATTGCAGTATTTGTTCCACCAGATTTGCTGGGGATCCCTTTTCTTGTATTATTTCAGGGTGACCTAATACAACAAAATCTACATTTACAAAAACTCCTCCTGCAGATAGGTCATAGATACTGCATGCTTTTTTTTTTTGCTTTTTTTCTCTTTCTCTTTTTTTTTTTTTTTTTTTTTTTTTCAAAAAATAAAAAAGAACATTAACAGACTAATTTCCAACATTCACTTTTTAATTTTTTTAAACAGAAAGGTTTTTTTTCAAGATATAAACAATTTTTTGTTAAGCTATAATACAGTGGGAGTAAAAATGAACTGAGAAGTTTCTGCTGCACAACAGCGAAGGAAGCTCCCACATAAATGTTTACCAAACATTTCCTTTTTTCCTGTGTTCCAGGTTCCATTCTTACTCTTCATTTAACTGATTTTTTTTTTTTTTGCCAGAAAGTTGATATTTCAAGTTTTTCTGTTATTTCAATTCCTGTAAATTTGGCTGCATGTACAAATTCATTAGCTGGAAGTTCCATCCTTGGCGGCATACAGCGATCGTAAAGTCTGCACAACTTTATTAGTCAGCTTATTAGCACTCGTTAGAGCAATTTTTTTGTAAATAATGTCTGACTCTTTAATAGTGTCTACCCAAGGCACCAGTTTGCGGCCATCACGGCGCTTAGCCTCAGTCCAGGAGCCACTGTAGGAGCCTGCCATCCACTGAACACTGAAGCCATTGCTGGTTTTCTGTACTACTCTTGCAATTTGTGGTCGGTCTTTGTACTTTGGACAGCAAATAGCGATGACATCCATGACATCAACACTTTCATTCATCTGTGCTGCCAACTCCGTAGAGTCTGAATTTCGTTTTGACCTTTTCAATGACTAAAACATTGGGGGGAAAAAAGACCAAGTGTTACACAAAAGAACTTCAGTAAAATTATTGCTTTTATTGCTTTTAATCCCTTGACGCCGGGAGTTGGGATTTCCCGGCACACATTCCATTGCCGGCAATGAGACGCACCGTGACCGCCAGCGCCAAGGGGTTAACATATCCTTGTAAAACCACATACTCTTAATTTGTACCCGTGTCTTTATCTCTTATTGATATATAAAATTATATACACACGAATCATAAAGCTACATAAAATCTTGGCAACAATAAAAAGAATAACACACAGTACATTCCAAAGGAAAATTAATAACTTTTTATACGGGATAAATCTCATTTTCTAGTTTGTTTTTTTTTTATTGTCTTTTTTGTTAAACTTTCTACAAAAGTTGTATAAACGGTTAAGTAGAGAATCTCTATCTACAAAATGCTTTCTTTTCATGTGGATTACATTACTTGGTGTACATTTAATATAATAGACTGACATTTATAAGCACATAAAAATCATTTTACGTAATACGCTGCGAAATACGTTGACTCCTCCTCCGCCTCACCCCTGAAGTGCCTCCTCCTCTATCCTCCCCATCACTTTCATCGTCCTCTGTCTCAGCTGCATTGTTTTTAGGGCTGCCTCCTCCAAGCAGCGAGGTAATTGCTTTGTTCCGAGCATTTGTGCTAGCTGACACCTCTCCATCTTCTTCCTCTTCATCAGGATCCAAGTGTTCCATAAGGAGCTTGAACTATTAAAAAAAGCAGGTTAGTCCACACTGAAACTTTTGAAGTAAGACATTTATATCAGACTGCACTAGATAAAAAACAAATGTTGAGGTAAAGAAATGGGGTAAAACAAATGGCAGACAACTCTGAACTTGAACAGCTTATGCTGTTTTGCTTTCCTCTCTTCTTTTTAGTAGGTATGTAAAAGCTTTTGTTCCGTGCTTACAACATTTCGAGTTCTCTCTAACTGGTGTTTGAGGAGTGGGGCTGAGGGTGAACACGCTAGATCTAGTCTGTGTTCCTATGATGGAAACAGTCAGGGACAAAGCAAACAAGTCATATGGGAGAGGTATACAAGATACATCCCAGAAATTAAAAATACTCCATAAAGATCAATATTCTTTAGCTGTAATGGACTTTCCTTGAGCTTAAACATATTACAGGTCTTTGAAAGGTAGTCAGTCCTGTGCAGCATCCTGAAAGGAAGAAGTGAGTTACCCACAGACACATAAGATTACCAGGAATTTAACATGGGGAATGTTCACCCAATACATCTGCATCTACTCTCAAATTTATGCCGTTTACTCGTTTGAAAGGATTTCAGTTTTTTTTGCAAAGCAACTTTACTTACATCTAAGTACTGTTTTACTATACTCCTCTTTACTTCTTCAGTTATCTTGGAATTAGCCATATCACTCCGCAGAAAATCCAGAGTTTGTTTTGGATGGAAGTGCACTCCTGTCTTCCTGTTTATCGCTTTATCATAAACTTTTGCAGACTCAGATGGAGAATATTTCTGAATTTTACTGTTTAAAGAATAAAAGAAGGGAAGATCTTTTAAGTGAATTCCTAAGTAATGTCGAGGAGAAGCTTTTAAAATCTTCACTTTAAGTAGATATATTTTAATAATTCCACATACAATAAACATTCTGGTAAGAAATTGAATGATTGTTGTTTCTAAGCCAAAGGTTCTGTTTTTTCTCTTACACAAATCTATTGCTAAAACAATTAGTTACAATCAACTTAAAAAAAAAAGTTGCAAACTTAATCCTTAAAAGGAACTCATTAGGAAACAAGATGGCCTATTATCCAAGCATCCTTACCTATCAGAAAATCCACAGAGGTTCTTTAAATGCTGTTTCAGCATCAAAAGTAATAGTATGCCTTGGGAGACATTTGCAAATTCAATTAAAGGAGCTGAATTTTCTGGTAAACATTTCATTACAGCATTTATATCATTTTCTTCATCAGAATCTGAATCAGAGTCTGCTCGTTTCCGTAACCTCCGAGGCTTAGAAGCTTCCTCCTCACTTTCACTCTCACTACCACTGTTACTGTCACTCTCAGTCTCCTCATCTGATGAAGGTTTTCTTTCCTTTTTTTTGTCTTTCACCATTGACTGCAAGACAGAGAATTTAACATAAATTCCAAGATTAGAGTAAGTAGCATCACGCAAGTGTCTAAAAAATTATGCAGACCAGAACAGAGAGGATTGCTTGTTTTTAACTACTGGTTACAAAGTGATGCTGCTGGTCTCTATCATAATAATGGTGCTATATTCACTGAGAAATCAACCAAATTACAGAGAAGCTGATGTCACCACCATAACAAATACACTAAAACATAAAGGGACATACCTCTTTAAATGACTGCAGTAGGTTGCTACCAGAAACTGATAGTGTAATGTCTATATGATGCATTATGAACAGTGGCTCTTCCTGCGTTTGATAAGGAAAACAGGCTAGATTGTCTGCTATGTACAAGAGCATATTCACCTCCGTCTTCTGGAATGGTAAAAAAAAAAAAAGTAACACATGAATACACATAAAGTATCTAAGACAATCACCCTGTGTTCCTAACAGCCTAGAGCAAAAATATAATTACAAGTTTTATTCTATGTATCTCCCCCCACATGTATATATGGAAAATTCAGTCATACCTGAATATATACTATTTCTGATCAGTCCAAACTGGCTATAGAAAGGTACAGAATGATGGAAAAGTAACAAATACATTCTATTATATTGGTAAATATCTTATATTACTAAGCAAAACAAAGTACATTAGGGAAATCAAGCTTTCAATAATTATGTCACACAGATACACGGTAAAATGAGAATTCAAGCTGGCAACATAATTTGATTTCTTTTCAAGTGAAGGAAATGTGATGCTTACTGCAGTATCATCAAAGAGGTTGAGTAAAGAAATTAGAAAGGCTCGTCGGTGCTGACGGTTCCCTCGGATCATAGAGTAGAGGTGTGAACACAATGCACTGGATGATTCATCATGTCTAAAGCCTCTTACAGGATCTTTTGGGCAGGTATTAATCGCTTGCTGTACCTGGTACGACATCTTCATACCAGCCACTGCTTTCATCTGAAATGGAAATGTATTTGTTTTCATTTAAGCCACTGCTTTCAAAGCAGCAGAGCTTACTCCTTTTAAGTGATGCTCATCTGAAGCTTAACTTTAAAACACAGACTGAGGCTACTTTCTGAGTTGGCAAGTACATTTAAACAGAACTTGTGGCAGAGATCAAAATGTCTAGTGAATTGCATTCACTGTAAATTCTGTTAGGAACATGCAGCTCATCTGTTTACCTACTACAGCCAGGTATTCCCATTTAAACAATTTTCAAGAATACTGCAGGGTTTTCATACAACAACAGAACACTTTACCAAATGTGTATGCTTGACGTCACTTGCAGCAAAACCAACAACTGAGTCCATATTAGCACAAAAGGACTAATAAAAACAAAATGGGGGGTTGCCTGTAATTTTCAGCTGATTTTACTTACTTTAAGGCTCCTGCTCTAGGTTTCAGAACAAACTGAATATTTAGGCTCTATATCTAACTGTCCTCATGCCTCCTCTGCTGCTGTTCAGCAAAGCTGTCTCTTCATCCATATATTGATTTAAACAGCAGAAAAAAATTGCTATGTAGGGGCTATCAGACTTCACCTATTGGATTAGGTATCTGCTTAGGTGCCAGCAACACTGCTGGGCTGCAATCTCAGGGGAACACAAGCAGATATAGGAGTCCCACAATGCAACACACACATTGAGCCTTGACCTGGGCTCTCTGAAACAAGGAGGTGATAATTCAGCTCAATTACAGATCTCAAGCAGAATTATTTGCACAGAGCCACAACTCCACAAGTTCTCACTTAGCCCCCAGATTTCCCTTTCAGCATGCTCACTCCAGTCCTATGCTGCTTCTGCTTAGATTACAACTTAATAAAGCCTTGATGCCTTCATGTTATAATACAAATAAATTAAGAACTGTTAGAGCTTTTACAGGGTGTTCTCATCCCTAATGCACTGATACAGGAAAATAACTGCTAAACATTCTGACACCTACCTGTCCTTACCTCTTATAAAATAAATGCTCTCAAGTACTATTCAGTGAGGAACATACTACTTCAAATTATAGAGGAAATCAGATATTACAAGAGACGCTTCAAATTATTACATTCTTTCTATTTTTAAGACAAAAAAAAAAAGAAAGAGTTGAGATAATCTTACAGCTGCTTACAGTAGTTCTTTGTTACTTTCTATTCTTTTTCTGCAGCTGATGCATACTCAGGTGTTAAGCCACTAAAGAGCAAGAGTATTTTGTAAAATGTTAAATTAGAATTACTTACATGAATGAACCCAGCATATTTTTTGTCTATTTCCACCAATTGTTGATCAGCTTTGTTTCGCATAGAGGGCTCTGGATCTGTGCCCATAGCAATTAAGTATGGCACACACTTGAAAAACAAATGAAATTATTATTCAGAGTCATTGCACCTCCTCTTTCTCAGTCTTTGTTCTTCTACTATACAGCTTACTACCTGACTACTCTTTGCAAGCAAATAGTTCAAAATTCATGAGACACCAGCGTTATAAATGATAGTCACGTGAGGTTTCAAGTAGTATTTCCCTTTCTCTCAAACTCTGAAGTCAATTTACAGTACAAAAAACACCATTTAAAAAAAAAACAGAACCCATGACTTAGGAATGAAAAAGCACAATTTTTGCAGTTATGAAAAATAATTACAAAAATATTATGTAAGCAAAGAATAATGGAAATTATGTCAGAAATTCTGACAGTAACTGTGACATTCCATGGAGTTTGGAGGACATGGGGATTGAGGTAGAGGCAAGCTGACACTTCTTCCAGGATAAAAAAAATCAAACGAAGACAACAACTTGGCATAGACCTGAAATTTGTAAATGAAGTAATGCACATTTGCACATGCTTTTTAGGCACTGGCTGCGCTTTTACATCTTGATCCACCGCCAGAAAATACAGCATTTGGAATTTCACTGGCTAAAGAACACAGAACAGATTTCAAAATACGCTTTATGTAACGGCCCCTCGCTACAGTAAGAAATTACTGTAGTATTGCTGGAAGAGAAAAACTGGAAATTTATGTAGCATGTGATAAAACCTCTGAAAACCTAAGTGAGAAAAACACCCATCATAAAAGCCTACCTACCTGAACAGGATGGATGAGACCCTGGTTTAACGTCAGTGCAATGACATTTAGAGCAAAGTGGCGCACACTGGACTGGGTATGAAAGAAAGCCTCAAGGACCTGTTTGAGATACAGCTGCATGATGGAACTACTCATCCCTGAGGAAATATCACCCATTTCTTTCAGGTCTTCCTGTTTTGCTACTTTTTTCCCTGCAAAAAGGACAAAACCAATAGCTCACTCAGCACAGTATTACCATTTGCTTTGCCATTACTTCAGGCATGCTCATTTTCAAGCTTTACAACACAGATACATTCCAGCTGTCTTCAAATGTGTTTATGATCTCATGAAACATACAGCAGTTTCATGGTACATGTACATAAAAAACCTAAGGATATGACTTAAATTAGAAGTTTAAGTTTTTTTATTTTTATTTTAAAAATTTCTTATGTTTTATAATTTTCTGTCTGCAAATCAACATTAGAGGAGATTTTGACAAAAAGTATTACTACCCTCATTACAGTGACTATGCATTCTGGATTGCTTCCAGGATTTATACATGGTGAAATTAAATAATACACCTATCACACGTATATCCCTACACACATTATGAACTTCTGAAAATTATTTTTAAATACTTTGAGTACAACATTACTGATGTGACGACAATCATAAGTGACACAGTTCACCCATAGGGTAACTGTATGCAAAAAAGCCAGGTTTTGCGTGCACAGAACTCCACACTTACAGTCTCTGTCTGCTTGCTGCATACGTGTATCCTCCTCTTGCAAGTAGGTCTGGAGGTTTTTTAACACCTGGATTTTTAGGTTTACTGAACAGTTCTTATCTGAAAGAATACTGTTGTACAGAGTCTTCACTTCCTGTTCAAACATTAAACTTGGGTGTTGTATGAATGCAAATCCTAACGGTGGGGAAAAAAAAGGTAATATTTAAAATTATTGTATTCTAGAAATTTTATTGAAATTTACCTCCTCCCAACACCATAGATTTTCTAGTCTAAATAATATTTCTCTTCTATATGGACACCATCCAGAGCTTACAAGGAGTTCTGTTAGCCATGACAGTTCAATTAACTACAACTCTGTTTGACAGATTGGTGGTTGACCCAGGGCAGCTGCACTAGGAATGGGTACAGGTCTGAAAGTGGTCTGCATCTGACTGACTTGGAGCTCTCACAAGAACAAGGGAGGAACATTACTAAAAATTACCCATTGTTTTTCTAGTACATCAGGAGAAAAACATTCTAATGAAACTGTGAAAAGTTGTTCATATGGAGGCAGAGCAGATGTGTAAAAACTGATAAATATAAAAAGCATTTAAAAATAAAATCTTAGAAGAAAAAAAGCCAACAAACTAAACACAGAAGAAATTATACCTCTTTCTGACATTATTCATATACCTATTTAGGACTTTTCTTGAATACTATCTGAAGCATTCCCAAGACTACATCTGTCAGATGACAAACACTACAGAACTGTTTTTAAGCTGCAGCATTACCCTTGTCAAGGAACTGGTTGTCCTTTAGTCTGTATTTCATAAAAACCTTTCTTTGTAAGTGGCAGTATATACCATTTTAGATCATATAGGCAGATTTAGAAGTGCTGCTGGCTAACTCTTGTATCATGAAAACCAGTAATAGGTTAAATAGGTTAAATTGCATGTAACTATTTAGTTTTTTAAAGACTGTTCAAGAAAAACAAACATTAAATGTATTTTTTATGATCAAGGAAACTAAGATTCTGGATGAAGAAAAAGCGTGAGCCATAAAAGAAAAATTTTGGGGAAAAAAGAAAGGAAATAAAGTTATACAAAAATAATATATAAAAACAGATGTAAAAAAGGGAAGACTGAATTTAGTTTTTAAAATACACACAGAGAAAAGACAGTGTAGATAAAGACTTACTCCAGGGCAAGATCTCAGTGTGTTTAAGATCTCTTTTCAATTTCAAAACAAGAAGTAGAAAGAAGCAGATGAGGTGGAGGGGAAACAGGAGATAAAGGAATGATGGTGGTCTTTGGAGTATCTGGTCTAATTATGCTCGCTATACAGGCACATATTGATGTTTTCAACTTGATTACCTCTAAGCAAGTCCAACCCATTTTTTAAGGTTCATTTAAAAAAGGAAAGTCATGTGTGTAACAGACCAGAACACTTTTTTTCCTTCACCCATTTAAACAAGTTTAAAACAACAGTATTCTTGGGGAACTCCTATTCTTCCCTCCCCTTTAAGTGGGGAAGAAATCTTACGTGGTGTAAGAACTTGTCATAGGAAATGAAAAAAGGCATCTGCTGTGTTCTTTTAAGGACTGGCTTCACAACTCAGGACTGAGTCTCTACCACTTACCTTCATACCTTTCCTTTCACTCTGTTAAGAGTTTTAAGATTTAGCACTGAACTTTTCTGAGCATATTACTTTTAGCTAAATTTGCTTACAAAATTTTGCATCTTAAATTTGCCTTGCAAGTACACATCTGAAAGACAAGCACACTCATAACAATGAAGCTTATGGTTAAGCTTAATCTCTCAATAGCAATGACACATCCCAAAGACCACTGGGTGTCCTTACTGAAACAAGATTAATAATACTGACAGGAATGGCACACTCTTCATGTGATGCCTTCATTATCTGTAGTAGCTTGCTGGTCCTTTTCATCTTACTGCTGCACACAAATGTTGAATGGCTTTGACAACTTTATTACCTGTATGTATGGTGGAACTTTGCACTGTCTACTACATCTCCTTACATCCAGTATCCTCTAATAAAGGAACCAGTACTTAGATATGATCAAAATATCACTGAAAACAGCTGTCTGAGTTTAACTAAAATGGGGTCTGACATGCTGACAGGCAGAGAAAAAGAAATTCTGAAGAATGTCTACTGGCAGCCACCCCACTTCCCCCCCCCTTCCCTCAAGCTGATCACAGTTCAGTCTACAATTAAGAACATTTTTGGTGACTTTTACCATCTCCACATCAATGAGCAAAACCATCATGTCAATGGTTAGGAAGAGAGTCCCTGTCCCATGTGTGATATTCTGCAGAGGATAATTAAATTGGACTGGATTACAGTAAGTATTGTGCACCTTGTCTAGAAAAACTCCAACTAGTCCAGAAAACCTTATAATTGCTGCTGCAAGAGAGGCAACTCTAAAGCCAGTAATCCTGCTCAGCTGTTTGAAATATAATTTCTCACAGAACATAAAAAAATGGTCAGTCTTGGTCCTTATCCTCAGAGCTCTCCCTTGGCTCAACTGCAGTGGGATATCTAGAAAGTGACCTAAACAGCAATATAGAGAGGAAAATTCTTGTCCACAGTTAAACAATACAATGCAAGCTCATGTGCCTCAGAGACAACTCTCTTTAGACTCTGCCACAATCACGAACTAACTCTTCCAGAAATTAAGACCTATCTGCCAAAACAAGATTATATCATCTGTACAGATTTTGTCCTTAAGCAGAGGTTGAACATGATACAAACCACTCAACAGCAATTCACGTACTACTGCAAGTCACTGAAATACCATACTGCTGCCTTCAGGTAAAGAATCTACTTACAAGTGAAATACAGCTTAGACTGCAACATCATCTTAATGTCTTGCAAAATTTCACAGAGCACCCCTCAGTTGGAATAAACTGCCAGAGTTCACTTAACTCCTGCATCTGCTCCTACGCTCAATTTTCCGTATTAGGACCAGCACTGTTTAATGTTTTAATCAGTGACATGGACAGTGGGATTGAATGCACCCTCTGCAAATTTGTAGATGACACCAAGCTCAGTGGTGCAGCTGACACACCTGAGGGATGGGAAGCCATTCAGAGGGACCTGGACAAGCTCAAGAAGTGGGCCCATGTGAACTTCATGAGGTTCATCATGGACAAGTGGTGTTGTAACCACCAGTATCAACACAGGCTGGGGGATGAAGGGATTAAGAGCAACTCTGTCAAGAACTTCACGGTAGAGGTGGATGAAAAGCTGGACATGAGCCAGCAATGTGTGTTCACAGCCCAGAAAGCCAACTGTGTCTTGGGCTGCATCAAAAGCAGTGTGACCAGCAGGTTGAGGGGGGTGATTCTCCCCTGCAACTCTGTTCTGGTGAGACCCCACCTGGAGTACTGTGTACCGCTCTGCAGTTCTCAGCACAGGAAAGACACGGATCTGTTGAAGCAAGTCCAGAGAAGGGCCACAAAGATGATGAGAGGGCTGGAGCACCTCTTCTATAAAGACAGGCTGAGAGAGTTGGGGTTGTTCAGCCTGGAGAAGAAAAGGCTCAGGGGAGAACTTACTGTGGCCTTTCAATACTTAAAGAGGGCTTTTAAGAAAGAGGAGGACAGACGTTTTAGTAATGCCTTTTGAGACAGGACAAGGGGCAATGGCTTGAAACTAAAAGAGGACAGATTCAGACTAGATGTAAGGGAGACAATCTTTACAAGGGCAGTGAAACACTGTAACTGGTTGCCCAGAGAGGTGGTAGAAGCTCCATCTCTGAACACTGAAGGTCAGGTTGGGCAGGGCCCTGAGATACCAGATCTACCTGAAGATGTCCCTGCTCACTGCAGGGCAGGTTCGACTAGATGACCTTTAAAGGCCGCTTCCAGCCCCAACATTTCTATGATTCTACGAAAAGCAATATTTGGTGTTACAACAAACTTTCCTAAGGAGAAAAAAACCCATATATTAGTTACTCTGGAAATTACCGCACTTGTAAACTTTTTCATGCATTAAAAAAGGCATTCACTGTCAAAATCATCCATTCTGCTGCAGAAGTATGCAACTAGCAAACCTCTGACAACTCTTCCACAGCCAGTTCTCAAAAAAAACATGCAGTAAAATGTGATTTTAAGCAAGCTCCCCTGCCGCTACACAAATACATGAAATCCTGCTGATACACATGGATTTTTATTATGGCAGAACAAAAAAAACCACATCACTATTAAAATTTCTTACCAAGGCCAATAATTGCTTTTGTCTGTACTTCTTCATCTGAATGCTTTGTAAAATACATCAGCAGTTCAAGTACTTTATCCTTTATGTTAACCTGAACAAATTAAAACAAAACATAGCTATTTGAAGCTGCATCTGACGTTTTTAGTCTGTTATAAAAAGCATACATATAAAAAATAAAACGAGAAACACAGCCTATATATTGTATGCATTATGAAATAATATATACCTTTGAGGTACTAGGAATAATACGCCTTTGAAGTAAAGTGGATTACTCAATGAACTATCTAAGACATGGAGAGTAAATGCAAGTTATTTTACCTTACTGTTGCCCTTAAAATCTTCCTGATCAAAATCAAAATGCCGACACAGTGCTCCAACAGTGAAAAGTGATCGAAGGAGTGCTGGTTTATTGGCAGTTAGTATTGTACTATTGGGGTCTTCTTGGTGTTGACTTTTTAATTTCAAAAGTGCACCTACAGTAAGATAAAGTTTTGATCAGTGTTTAATTTTTATGTGCCCCTAAGATAAGACTTGTAGCCGAAACTGAAAAGTGATAACTACATGTTGTGATTTTACTTACCATAGTATCTATTAAAACAGGCCCACACAAATTTATAGTTCTGGGTAACCTTGTTCACAACAGCTCCAAGACAGCTTACACAATGCTGAACAACCTAGGGAGCAAAAAAGAACAAAGGACATACACATTTAAAATTTAAAATTAAGATTGTTATGAAGTTATATAGGAAAAACTATGCTGAACTAAAACTAACAATCCAACAGATGTAACATTCATTTCATAGACTGATCTGAAAACCTGCTCAAACTTGTTAAAATATAGCAGCCATACATCCAAACTCCAGTTAACCAAGTACACTGATTTTTCATGGCTCAAAAGTTACCTTCCCAATGAAGACAGACTTTCTTTAAAAAGCCACGTATCTCACAAGATTAAATGGAATCAAATGAAGAGCAGCAATTTAAACTTACTGTCATGCCGTATTTGATGATAAGTTTCATGAGGTCTTCCTCAATAGTGGCAAGAAAGGTCTCACTTGGGTGCTCCATTAGTGGCACGACAAGCTCTAGGATTTTTGCAACATTGCAGATCACCATGAAATCATTCTGGGTCTGAAACAAGAGTGTATAGCGTTCAACACTTCCAAGCATGTTCTCTGTAAGCTAAGTATTACTAATACACAGACAGTAAACAATCCCAGCTCATGTAAGATATTTGGTTAAGTCCTAAAATAACATTTATATAATTTACAGCTGCTATTAAATTACATGTTATTATAAAAGCTGGATCTGTTTTCTATAAAGAAGTTCTGGGGAATAAAAATAAATCTGTACAAGCAGAACTTCACCTTTCATCAAGGCTGTGACAGACCTGAAAAACTTCAGTCCTGATAAGTTTTTTTGAATTCTACAATAAATCTGGGAAATCAGCTCCTGATACCTGCACACCAGACAACACACACAATGCTGGAAAGATGTGTCATCAACAAAATGAAGTTGTGCTATAACTCCATCTAGCTTAAACAAAGTGTGCCTAAATGTAAGAATTACAACTAAAACTATTTTAATTGTAAGGTTCTACACATGGGTCAGGGGAATCTCAAGGACAAATATGGGTTGGGTGCAGAATGCACTGAAAGCATCTCTGAGGAGAAGAACTTGAAGGTGTGTTGGTTGATGAGAAGCTCAACATAAGCTGGCAATGTGCGCCTGCAGCCCAGGACATAGTTGGCTGGCTTTCTGGGCTGCATCAAAAGAAGTGTGGCCAGCAGGACTAGGGAGGTGATTCTCTCCTTCTGCTCTCGTGACACCCCACTGATAGCACTGTGTCTGGTTCTGGAGCTTTCAGTAGAAGGACATGGACCTGATGAGGTGGGTCCATAGGAGGACCACTAAAACGGAGCACCTCTCCTATGAAGACGGGGTGAGACTGTTGGGTCTGTTCAGCCTGGAGAAGAACAGACTTCAGGGAGACCTTACAGCATCCTTCCAGTATCTGAAGGGGCTACAGAAAAGCTGGGGAGGGGCTTTTTACAAGGGCATGTAGTGAGAGGATGAGGGGGAATTATGTTAAGATGAAAGAGGGTGGATTTGGATTAGATATTAAGAAGAAATTCTTTAAAGTGAGGGTGGCGAGACACTGGCACAGGTTGCCCAGGGAGGCTGCGGCTGTCCCATCCCTGGGAGTGTTCAAGGCCAAGTTGAATGGAGGTCTGAGCAACCTGGTCTAGTGGAAGGTGTCCCTGCCCATGCTGGAGGGGGTTTAGAACTAGATTATCTTAAGGTCTATGATTTTATGATGCCCATGAAATAAACCCCATTATTGTAACTTTTGTTTTCCTACCTACAATTTCATCAAGTACACAAGACAGCCACTAATTTTCATGCTTAATTATCTGGGGGAAAAAAAAAAAGACTGATTTTTCTCTACTTACACTACATTTAGTGGTCAGGTATGGTTGCATGGTCATCGCATGCTTGACCATTAGCTGGGGCCTGATTTTGCTGAATAAGAACAAAGTGGTTATGCAAGCAACCAAGCGACCAGAATTCACACCTTTGTTGTCGGAATCTGCAAAAGATTAGAAAATACAAAAATGGTATGAAATCAAAGTATATTTGAGCACGTATAAACATGTGGCTTGATTTAATTATATTTAATTACATATGTTTTGGTTTTAGTGATTTAGAAGTCTGAACAATTTTTTTTTAAGTAGTTCTGTTATTGTGATTAGCTAGTGAAAAGTAGGGAAACTTCATTATTATACCGCACTCAAAAGCTCTTAATGAACCTAAAAGCAATGATTTATTACCATCAGTTTTGTAAAAAGGGATTCTGTAACAGCAATGTTTTGAGATAATTTTGAACCACTCTTACAATATCATAAAAAATAAAAAAGAGTTAATCTACTGGGTTGTAAATAATATTACCTGATAAAGATTCCTCATATTTAAGAATGTGCTCAACCAAATTGTCAACAAGTTGAGTACAGGCTTTCTTCACAGGTTTATATGAGGCATCCTCTTCTGACTTCAACAACTGCAGCAGATGAAACAGAAAATTATTCAGTATTAAGTACGCATTCATTTACATTGGATACATGCTGATTTTAAAACAATTACTACACATACACACGGATATCACACTACAGAAGTATTTATTTAACTTCTCCATAAAAGTTAGTGCCAGGAGAAAAAATGCAGAGAAGTAAAAAAATTAAACCAAAATGTGTGAGAAGTAAAGAAAAATTAACTGCAATAAGAAAGAATAAGAAATACTGATCTTTGCATTGGGATAAAAGCAAACTTTGAGCTTAAAGAAATAATACTGAAAAAAATAACGTAATCATGTTTACCAGCAGTAACTAAAAGGAGTTAGAAGGTTTTTAAAACACTTAGGAAAAAAATCAGTAAATTCAAAAGGAATGTTGTTTATGACCATAAGCAAAAATACAAAATAAAGATGAAACATAGTTTTATAAACATTTTAATCAGTTGGCCTTCTTCTGTATGACTTCAGGTACTGAAACTGTGTCCATGAAGATCTTTCAATACCTAAGGATTGAGACCATACTATATGGCACTCCAGGCTAAAGCAAAATCAAAAGGGTTTTTTGCCTGAAATTTAACCAGTGTATACAAGATGCAGAGGAGAATAATCATACAGCTTGAAGAGACAGAAATAAATCAAGATCAATTATTGGAAAAATCAGAGTAAAATATAATATAGAAGTAACCCATACTCTGAAGATTCACACTTCTATAAACAGTGTAACAAATATATTGGATGTGGAAACACACTGATCTGCCATTTTCAAAAATAATCTTCACACTAGATGCCTTATTTCAGAATTAAGTACCTTAGCTGTGGAGTACAGGTTATGAAGTGATTACTGGGGAGTGTATGAAATTAAAACCAAAGAAATAAAAGCTCCCCCATACCACAAGTATTTTTCAAACAGATCACATGGTAATACAGAAACTAACTGTCAGAGATAAAGAAAACTGCCCCCTCAAAGATTAAAGAAAAGGTCAGATGTTTAAAGGGCATTAACTGAAGGGCTGCTCTGGTAATGCCAGTTCTATATGTTTTACTACCAAAATAAATTATAAAGGTCTAATAATGACGGTATCATATATTCAAAATTCATTACTTTTTTAAGTAGTTCTGTTATTGTGATTAGCTAGTGAAAAGTAGGGAAACTTCATTATTATACCGCACTCAAAAGCTCTTAATGAACCTAAAAGCAATGATTTATTACCATCAGTTTTGTAAAAAGGGATTCTGTAACAGCAATGTTTTGAGATAATTTTGAACCACTCTTACAATATCATAAAAAATAAAAAAGAGTTAATCTACTGGGTTGTAAATAATATTACCTGATAAAGATTCCTCATATTTAAGAATGTGCTCAACCAAATTGTCAACAAGTTGAGTACAGGCTTTCTTCACAGGTTTATATGAGGCATCCTCTTCTGACTTCAACAACTGCAGCAGATGAAACAGAAAATTATTCAGTATTAAGTACGCATTCATTTACATTGGATACATGCTGATTTTAAAACAATTACTACACATACACACGGATATCACACTACAGAAGTATTTATTTAACTTCTCCATAAAAGTTAGTGCCAGGAGAAAAAATGCAGAGAAGTAAAAAAATTAAACCAAAATGTGTGAGAAGTAAAGAAAAATTAACTGCAATAAGAAAGAATAAGAAATACTGATCTTTGCATTGGGATAAAAGCAAACTTTGAGCTTAAAGAAATAATACTGAAAAAAATAACGTAATCATGTTTACCAGCAGTAACTAAAAGGAGTTAGAAGGTTTTTAAAACACTTAGGAAAAAAATCAGTAAATTCAAAAGGAATGTTGTTTATGACCATAAGCAAAAATACAAAATAAAGATGAAACATAGTTTTATAAACATTTTAATCAGTTGGCCTTCTTCTGTATGACTTCAGGTACTGAAACTGTGTCCATGAAGATCTTTCAATACCTAAGGATTGAGACCATACTATATGGCACTCCAGGCTAAAGCAAAATCAAAAGGGTTTTTTGCCTGAAATTTAACCAGTGTATACAAGATGCAGAGGAGAATAATCATACAGCTTGAAGAGACAGAAATAAATCAAGATCAATTATTGGAAAAATCAGAGTAAAATATAATATAGAAGTAACCCATACTCTGAAGATTCACACTTCTATAAACAGTGTAACAAATATATTGGATGTGGAAACACACTGATCTGCCATTTTCAAAAATAATCTTCACACTAGATGCCTTATTTCAGAATTAAGTACCTTAGCTGTGGAGTACAGGTTATGAAGTGATTACTGGGGAGTGTATGAAATTAAAACCAAAGAAATAAAAGCTCCCCCATACCACAAGTATTTTTCAAACAGATCACATGGTAATACAGAAACTAACTGTCAGAGATAAAGAAAACTGCCCCCTCAAAGATTAAAGAAAAGGTCAGATGTTTAAAGGGCATTAACTGAAGGGCTGCTCTGGTAATGCCAGTTCTATATGTTTTACTACCAAAATAAATTATAAAGGTCTAATAATGACGGTATCATATATTCAAAATTCATTACTTACATTTTGAAGAAGCTGTTCAAACCAATCATACCCTGTATCTCTACAAGCTGCAACCTAGAAGTATTTTTGAGAATGAAATGGTTAATAAAGAAGACATCTAAGGAAAAATTAATTCAATACAGATGTAATTTTAAAAAAAACAGTAAACATGCATAGATATACTTTCATATGCACTTGGCACAATGGTTTTACACCTTTGGAGATCAGATACTGTCTTCTGCATTTGAAAAACAATTCTCAGCTTTTAAGTGACTCCAGAATTTGTGTCCATACAACACAAAGCCTGCACATTCTACTGGATATTGCTAGCTCTAATGTAAACCAAAATTTGCTTTTGTAGAACATTTTGCACGGACTAAAGCAGAAATCCAATTCTGACATACTGAAAATGAATATGCATGTATATATATGTATATGCTCATTTTTATATACACAGACCAAGCCTTCACTAGCATCTTATGTCAGGAACAGCTCACAGGGGCTCTAAAGTAAAACTGGCAGAAGAACTGAGAGTTAAGTTGAAATCAAAGTGACTGACTTCTAAGTTTGAAAAAAACACACACTAGACTACTATTATGTAAAAACAGTGAAAAGCACAATGAAATGTAAACCTAAAATTGTAAGTAATGAAGCAGTATTTTTATTCGTTATTTACATTTTTGTATAATCGGTATTAAAACATCTCAGCACAGGGATTCTATGCACATGTTTTCACTAACGATTAAAGCATTTTACTTGATATAGATTTTGTTATTATGGAAAGATGCTATTTAATTTGCTGCTCCTAAAAAGTAGGTACAATTATGCAGATACTAGTTTATCCTGAGGGAGAACGTGACCCTGTATTTCTTAAAGCTGCTTATTAAACTTTCAAAAAAAATGTTATCAACTGTTTGAGGAAAATTTTCTTTTAAGAGACAATTTCTTAGTTTGGCTTAGCTATACGCTGCTGCTGGAAACTCCTGGTAAATGTTAAAAGTAATACAAATTTATTGTGTTTTAACTGAGCACGTATTTTAAACAATCGGAACATAGCGTGGTCCGAGGTACCATTCCTAGCAGATTAGTGACCATTTAGAGTTTCCAGCAGCTTTTTCCATCAGGTGAATAGCTTTGGCACAGATTCAATGCCAAGAGATATAAAAAGAAATCCTCCAGACAACTAAATTACCACATTCTAAAAAACGATGGATAATATCTCAAACATAGTAAAAACATAGGAAATTTTGCACACAACTCAAATTCCTTTAACATACCACATCAGTGATGTTTAGTATTTTCCTTGTCATTGCTTCTTTGTCATGGTGTGGAGTTGGAGTAAACCAGAGCTTCTGGAATGTCTCATTTACTAATTTCTGAAGGAAAACAAAAATTAGCTTAAATAAATAAGTGTATCTTGGCACACAGGCATTGCTGCTAATACAGCCATACAACAGAACTGTTGATGATACATGACTTTTCATAAGGAATTATTCAACCTAAGTGACACTGAAATGTTACCTGTGAGACACCCAGATTTACTCTTACAGGAGTTACACAGGCCTCTAGGCAAGCTTCAGCAAAATGATCACTGCAACGTGCTACAGAAAATGGGGTTACTACTTTCCTGAATTAGTTTGCATTTCTCAGGAAGACACTGTACCCTAAGAAGCTGACAACTGAACACAAGATTGTAATTTATTACACAGAACTAGAAGCAATGGTAGATTACTTTAGTTTTCGAAACAACCGTCACAGGGTGGGGAAGAAGATACTAGTTTATCCTGAGGGAGAACGTGACCCTGTATTTCTTAAAGCTGCTTATTAAACTTTCAAAAAAAATGTTATCAACTGTTTGAGGAAAATTTTCTTTTAAGAGACAATTTCTTAGTTTGGCTTAGCTATACGCTGCTGCTGGAAACTCCTGGTAAATGTTAAAAGTAATACAAATTTATTGTGTTTTAACTGAGCACGTATTTTAAACAATCGGAACATAGCGTGGTCCGAGGTACCATTCCTAGCAGATTAGTGACCATTTAGAGTTTCCAGCAGCTTTTTCCATCAGGTGAATAGCTTTGGCACAGATTCAATGCCAAGAGATATAAAAAGAAATCCTCCAGACAACTAAATTACCACATTCTAAAAAACGATGGATAATATCTCAAACATAGTAAAAACATAGGAAATTTTGCACACAACTCAAATTCCTTTAACATACCACATCAGTGATGTTTAGTATTTTCCTTGTCATTGCTTCTTTGTCATGGTGTGGAGTTGGAGTAAACCAGAGCTTCTGGAATGTCTCATTTACTAATTTCTGAAGGAAAACAAAAATTAGCTTAAATAAATAAGTGTATCTTGGCACACAGGCATTGCTGCTAATACAGCCATACAACAGAACTGTTGATGATACATGACTTTTCATAAGGAATTATTCAACCTAAGTGACACTGAAATGTTACCTGTGAGACACCCAGATTTACTCTTACAGGAGTTACACAGGCCTCTAGGCAAGCTTCAGCAAAATGATCACTGCAACGTGCTACAGAAAATGGGGTTACTACTTTCCTGAATTAGTTTGCATTTCTCAGGAAGACACTGTACCCTAAGAAGCTGACAACTGAACACAAGATTGTAATTTATTACACAGAACTAGAAGCAATGGTAGATTACTTTAGTTTTCGAAACAACCGTCACAGGGTGGGGAAGAGAGAGGAGACAAGTCACTCTAGTCAAACTCAGGAAGTACATTGCCTTCCAATGTTTTTGGATGGAGGGAAAAATGGAATAGAATGACAACAAACAAAATTATTTCCAAACTACCCATTAGGCATATGGTTGTAGGAAGCTCTCTTCACTCATTCATGGAAATAATGCCACATTTTTTTCTAATGTTGTTTGCAGGAAAGAGGAGAACAAAGCAATCTTCCTTTCCCAGCAGCACCTTGGATCCAGCTGCTCATCTACTTCTTGATTAACTGGCTTCTCAGAAAGCCACTTGGGATTAATGTATGCAAGTGGTAAAAATATATGCTGCAGCTTTAAAGTTGCAGATTTAAAATCCTACAAAAGTTTATGCAAAATTATTACAGGTGTGCTCTTTATTACCAAGCAACTTAAAAAATATTTTGCCAAATAAAAAAAAATAAAATCATCCTTGTCAGGTTTATAATTTAACACATAATCTTACTTTTGTGCCCTTCTGTGTATATATTGCTCAAAGAGTAGAGTATGATCATGAAAGTAACATTTTAAGGTGAATAACTGACTCCCTAAACCTTCTGAAATAATGTGAAATGAGCACAGAAGAAAAAAACCTCTAGAAAAGAACTTTTTTAACATCTTTTGATCATCAGTAAGGTCTTCAAGAGAGAGCATTTTAGAAAGCTAAGATATTTGCTCTCAAAAAGCAAAAGAGAGTAACAGCCATAAATATTACAAAGGAACAAAGCAATACTTTTTTTATTTTCTTTTTGGTCACAATACAGAAACACTAAAATAATGGTAATTAAGATGATCCTGAAGGACAAGTTTCATTCTACCTTAATGCCTTCTTCATCATTGACTCTCCGAATCATTTTCACACACATCTCTGTGATTTTGGGAAATGTTGGTTGTTCAATGCAGATATCTCTAAGTATCTTTATGACTCTTTTTCTGACACTGATACCAGTATCCTGTGAAAAGAAAGCCATTACCCTGTTGAAAACGAATCAGAAAGAAGTACTAATTTATGTATTACATGAATTAATATTTGGAGATAACCCAATCTGACTTGCAAAATTTATTTAGAAAAGGTGGCAAAAATATTCTGAAGTGCATTTATACAAAAGGTCAGCATAACTTGAACCATTTTATTTACAAAAATTCTTAAGGTTCTCGCTAATTCTCCAGAATGTTGAAATGCTGCCTCCATTTATACCCTCCCATCTAAGAGCTCATTATCTTGCAAATGTATAATTTCACTTCTTAATTCAGTAGCTTACAAGCTGGATCTGATGATGCTTTAGCTACTTTGTTGGAACACAAAAGATTCTTTGTAGATCTGGACTGTAATACTTCAAGCCTTCAGATAAATCTTATTAATAAGAAACAGGCAGCAACCTTTTCCATTTTCCTAGGCTTCATCTAAGGAGATGGATGAGGAGGTTCACTTCATATCACCTTTTTCAAAACCTCTTAAACCTGTATGTCAGGATGAATTGCTTTATGCACACTCATATGCACATGAGGCTATGTACCTTTAAAACCCTTCACAAACGTTTTATCATATAACTATAGAAAATTAGTTGTATTTCACTAAAAACCTGACACAGATGCGAAGTGCTAGGGTTATTTTACAGTTAAATTAAACTGTTTTATCTGAATGTCCAGATAAGCAACACTTCATAGAAAAACTCTAATAAGACACCTTTTAAAACACAAAAAACAGCATAGAAAAGCAAAGTAGTTTAAACTTCTTCTTTTGGATTACAGATAGCATCTTAAGATTGCTGTGTTGTAGATCTATCTTCATCACCTACACTACTGAGCTGCCCTTATGAATTGTGTATCAGACCTCAGAGATGTGTCAAAACTCCTCATTTTACCCAATTTGTGCCTTAATAAAGGAGTTTAATCTTGGTTCTTATGAGGTACAATTTTCTATATATGTTTACCTTTTGATGCTAACAAAGCCTCACTGGAAACAAGCAATGTACTTCACAAGGTTGGTCTTAAAAGCATGACGCTGACCATTAAAAAAGTAAGATACAATTTACTCTCGGAATCACCATTCCATATTATCAAACACATAAACTCAGTTAAATTTTGTATTTTTCCAAATGCCACTTGTGTTATCATGAGCATGAGAAGTCACCATACCAATATCCTTTCAATCAGCATGTCATAATACTGCTCAGCAAGCTGAGGACGGCAGAGCACAAACCGGCCGAGCAGCTCCACAGCCGCTTCTCGTACACTGGTGGAGTTGTCCATCAACCGCCCATGAACGCCTCGCTGCATATCCAGCTACCAAGAAGAAATGACATAGATCCAGAGTAAGAAATTAAGGCTTCTTTCAAGCACGGCAGAAGAATGTATGTGCATGAGGGGTATTTCCTTTTTTACCCTGGCTAGAATACTGGGGTCTACGGCAACGACCTCAGACAAACACTTCATGGCTTTTGTTCGAACAGCAATTGCATTTTCACCAAGTACACGCAGAATCTAGCAAAAGAACAAAAACAGAGATTCAGTCACTTTGGGAAGGTAGCAGTCAATGTTTAACAGCCAAAAATGCAGCAGAATAACATGCAAACAATTTCATTAAAATAAATATATCTGTTTACTAAAAACTTGATATATATTCTCAGACAGTAGAAATGTGCATGCAAGTGATTTTCCATGGCACTGATAACCGAGCATGGATATTTACTAGGATTTGGTACATGTTTACAACTGGTCTAAACATGATTTACACAGGGTCCACATGGTCACTTGAAGTCCTTTTATTTGAAACTCTACTTTCATCATTCAGTTGTGGCTTTCACCATGGTTCTTTTAACAGGTTTTTTGGATTTGGGAAGTAGTTTTAAGATGGCTCTGTATGCAGAACAATGTAAGTAGTACAACCTAAAGCAGTACTAGAGTTCAAACATGTCACCATGCCAACATGTTAGTGCTCGTCTCCCAGGAAAAGTGAAGGAATGACACTGGTCAAACAGCTTTCAATGTGACAACAACAGGCACTGCAAGCAACCAACCAAGCTGGATTGCATTTTCAAATCAAATTAAGCTGCCTTTGAGTTAACATCACCAAATAAGCCTGCACCTTTCAGAAACTATGAACATTATTTAAACATCTTACCATTATCCTCTGTGTACATTATTTATACATCTTACCATTATCCTTTTACTGTGTACATCCAATGATAATGATTTTGTCATACACATACAAGGAGAAACAAAATAATGTCTGTACAATGTGACACAGAAATTGCACACAAGAAAAAGAAACATAATCACCTGTGTGATCAATGCAGAATATGAAAGCACATGGTGTTAACATAGCCTGTTAAATACCTGTGCTCAACAACAAACAGACATGGCATACTGCTGCAAAAGTGTTTGCAATCAGAAACCAACCGTGTTTCACTGCACTAAGACTTCTGGCAGAGTTTACCTGTGTCAAATAAATATCGAAGCTCTGGGCAAACGGCCTCATAGAGGCCAAGTATCGAACAATCAAACACGCATCCTCATAGTCCACGGTATCAGAATTCATCCTGCAACAAATTCCATGTGTTCATTAGGACATGTTTATAAAAAATTATTTAAAACACACAATGCATGACTAATAAAGAAATAAGTGGTACTGAAACATACTTCAATGTACTGAACTGAGATGGAGCAGTTTTAATGATGCTGCGAAGAAACTTTTTGCGACTTTCTGCTCTGTGCATAATTTGTCCCGTGGTCTCAACATCTTTTGCATGGTGAGTTCCTTCAGATGAATCCTCATCCTTCTGAGATTTAATTGCTTTCTCTGTCTCCATAGTTGTATCACGGAACCACTGAGCTATATAGAACTTCCGAGAAAACTAAAAAATACAGCAGGATGCAGAGAACGTAAAGGAAGATACAGAAAAGGAAAAATTACAGATTCATCATGATACATGGTAGGCTGACAATTTAACTGAAGAACTAATATTTACAACTGAAAATCATTTTACTCAGTACTCTACTGAAAGAATTTTTACACATGCTTAACACCAGAAAGCTGAAATTTACCACTAATGATGCATCAGTTTCTGTGTTCTCATCCAGATAATCTAGCAAAGCCTTTTGCAGCTGCTGAATTTCATCTTCTCCTCCTGAAACCTGTTAGAAGTGGAAAGGTAAAATAGAACATTGTACAGTGGTAATTATAACTTGAAAATCTGTGTGTCCACATACACTCCAAGTTAGCTCTTTTAATAATTGGAGAATACTAATAATTTTTAATGAATTACTTATAAATTGCATGGAGACTGAAACAAACTAGACTGTAGCTCTAAAATCTAAAAAAAGATTAAGGACAGAATATGACTGATTTTAAAACAGACTGGCTGATTTGATTAAGTTTTATTCTATGATCTTGTGTGAAGATCCTCTGCCATGGAAGAAAAAAAAAAAAAAGGGCTTAAATCACACATAGCAGATTGAAACAGGGATTAAACTAGCTGTCTCACCAATATTAAATACCAAAACAGTGATTTCTCAGGTGAACAAGGGATAAAAGGCAAAAAAAGTAAAAAAAAAAAATGATACATGAAACAGAGAACATTAAAAAGGTATGAGAAACATTGAAGAAATGAAAATAACTTCCCACTTTGTAAAAATATTAGGTGTAGCAAGTAAAGAAAGGTACAGTTTCAAGTCCAGAATACCAGTGTATCAAGAGATAAACTAACAGAAGGTATGTACAAGTGTTTAAATCAATGACATAACCTATGGCAGATTTCTAAAAAAAAATAAATCTACTGTTACAAAATGTCAAAATATACTAGATTTTCACTTAAATCTAATTCTATGGGTCATGAATCCTAACCACAGTAGAGAGAGTTATAATCACTCACGAATATCCTACTAATGGTACCAGAGTATAGAAGGAAGTGTCTCATAGAGTCAAAGTATTTAATGTAGCAGGAAAGAAAAATATGCCAGCAAAGGAGAATTGTGTACTTCTGACACACAGAAGTATAAATTATATTAAGTCATGGACAAAAAGATTTGACACCATATGTTGTGGAAGATTCTAATCAACAGAAGTTATGGGAAGTACAAGCCTTATAAAGGACTAGATGGATTTTCTTTTTTTTTTTTTTTAATTTGAATGCCTGTATATTGCATAGTTTTTCCTTTAACTTAAGTTGGTAACAGTCATTAAAAGTACATGTAATAGATTTATATTCTTTTCAGGTAACTGAGAGGCAAATGAATTTTATACAACTATTCAACCTTGGATCATTCTGAGAACAGTTCAGAAAGAAATGTATAGCACCCATAAGAAACATGCAAGTCTGCATTTTTAAAAAGATGCATAAGGTCTGAGATTTTCTCATCATATCATGTCCTGTTTAGAGCACAAATGTGTACATTGCTTTGATACTTGTTGCCATTCTTGCAGATCTGGAGCAACACTAGCAGAAATTCAAATACACACTCTCTAAAGATACATGCAAATCCAGTTTTTTTTAAAAAAGCCCCACAGTTTCATAGAATCAGAGAATATCTTAAATTGGAAGGCATCCATAAGGATTGGGTCCAACTCCCTGCTCCTTGCAAAGACTACCTAAAACTAAATCATATGACTAAGAGCACTGTCCGGTTCAATAAAATAAGAGCATCATTTAACTCTCTAAAGCCTGTATACGAGTGCCAGAAGCTCAGTTACCACTTTATGATACCAAAAGCACATAGATTCGTATTTTTAAAGCCTCTTAGGATAGAATTAAGCTGTTGCTCCACTATTTCCTCTATTATTGTCACAACAATACTGGCTCAATCACTGCCATTAACCACTTCCTATGATCACTACAGAGATGGTGCAAGGAAGAGGACATAAGCTAACACGTAAGATAAACTGAGTATATTTGACTGAGAAATCTCAACAACGAAGACTGATTCACCACAAGGCCAGTTTTTCAAATATCTTGAACATTTTGAGGTATCTGAATGGCTACATCTCAATCTGGCTGTTATGGGATCTTTCACACACCTGTTTGAGAATTCTGGCTATAGATCCTTGATCCATTTTGCTAGTGACTGCATCTTTCCTCAGTCTTGCAGCTACAGTTCCAAGATAGTCAAGCGATGCCACTCTTAATGCCATTTCTGTAGATTTGTTACTGAACTGGTGAACCTAAGAAAAACAGAATAAACCATTAAAACAAATATTTATTTCTGCAACTGCAATTCTTTTCACAACAGATTGCTTGAACTTATTAAAAACTCCACCTAACTTCCATGCTGCATAAAATTTAAGCAAAATTGTATTACATCACAGATACACTACTTATTTTACATTAATGCTTCTTCCTTTTTTGTGTCTCTCTCTGTCTCTCCAAATATGCTTGTTGGAGTTTATTTTTTTTAAAGTATTTTTTCATATAATAACTGGACAAGCAGACATTCTTTGCAACACCTTAGATCTAATGCACCATAATGCAGCTTCTAATTATTCACACAAATATAAAGGCAGCTACATTTTACCAGGAAGTGAAGCATAACACATTTTTCCAAGAAACAGCTCAAATTACTATGTTAATTGCATTGTAACAGTGAAGAACAACTCTCATAAAGTGTTAAAAAAAGTATTAATATTTGGTAAAATATAAGTAAATGCTACTATTTGTGAAAAACCAAATTACTTAATTGTTTTCAGGTTCTAAGCTGAAGTAATAATCTTGAGAAGATATTTAACATGAATAATCACAGCTGTTAGTCTGAACTCACTCCAGATGAGCATCTACACTTAACAGATGCTATATAATGGCATTTTTCCATATTGAAAATGTCCTGGAATAGTTGAAGTGGACTTGAATGACAAACTGTATATATATGATCTTTAGCAACTTCCATAGCTATGATCTTACAACCCAAATTTTATTATCTATGTATTGCATAGTAGTGACACATGTAAGAGAATCCTTAAATGTCACAAGCTTGTCAACAATCAGAAAGCATGCCTGTAATAGTTTCAACTGAAATAAGCAAGTCTGCATTGTAATAAGAAATTAATTAATATAATAGTTTAAAACAAGGATCCCCTTACCAACAGCCTTCCTAGTAAGCTAAGCAGCAACTCTGCAGCTGGCCATTCTGGTTTATTGACTGTTGAAAGTAGATCTTGAATGAAGTTCTCAAACAATGGCCTGTAATCTTCTTCCCCCTGTTTACTGCCACACCTGTTTAAAAAAACCCCACATGTTTATTTAAATTAATTTAAAACCCATTGAAGCTTTTCTTCTGACAGAAACAGAAGTAATCTTACATTTAATGGGAAGAAGCTAGGTGAAATTCTAAAATAAATCCTGACATAATAGAAGAAAAATTGCTCTACTAATTTACAGAGAAATAGTTAAAACAATTACTGCTACAAGCTGTACTGCAAGTAAAGCAGCTAATGCACAATAGTAGAATTTTGTTTCTAAGATTTTTTTATACATTACTTCGAGTCAAAGTGTGCATTAACTTGGATGGATGAGTAGGTAAAATTGTAAAGCTCAAGCTGGAGGGAGGTATTTAGGAAGTGTTGTGTCTATACTCCTTAAGATTGGTCTGGTTTACCTGACAGTGATAAGGCATCTCAGTAACACGCTCCACACAGGTTAAAATCAGAACATAGAAAAAAAATGTCAAAAGGTAACATACTTGACAGTGTTTCACTTACATGTGGCATCCTAACTTAATGATCCCAGCAGTATGCAGACACACTGCTAGATGACTATTAAATAGCCTTTTGACTCAAGACTAGAAATTAACCCAATAAAAACCTCAGGAATTATTCTTGGAAAGCCTCTGGTTATTCACAGATACTATTTTTTTTCCCCTGTTGATCTACAGACACTCCTAACTTTAGCCGAGATAAAATAATTTCTGTCTTTAGTATCTTTGCCATTTCGATGACTGAATGAATATGGATTCACGTTTTGAGTATTTACAAAGATATCTCTTTCAAGATTCAGATAAGTAACGTAGCCCTAACAAAATAATCTTACACGAGCTATCAAACACATGCTTAAATGTATAAATACTCTGCACAACTTCTGTTCCATAAAAATTTGTGTGCAAATCGGTAGCTCTCTTAGGAATCTATGAAGTATATTGCTATAAACAACTTCATGAGTATGTGTTTAGCATAGCAAAGTGGTTAAGTTTGTCTTAAGGTATGATGGACTTTATTTGGAGTTGGTTTGGTCAATAAGCTAAAGAATGCAACAGTACTTACTTCTTAAGGAAAATAGAAAGGAAGTTTTGTGCTGTTCTCATGGCTGTTTCATATGAGTTAGTAATAAGCACATCTTGATCCACCTATAAATAACAACATATATTTAGGTATTATTTTATTATATACAGAAATGTGATTTCCAGATCAGCATTCCCCATGTATTAATAAGTACAGCAGACATAAAATTACAATGTTTGATTACTAGAGCACCTTAATAAAATACCTACAAACACACACAGCTATTTCTGCATATACACACATGAAAAAGACTTTAAAAAATATCATACTTTCTTGTTTGACTCCTCCTCTGAATTAGAATCTTTTTCTACTGATGGTAAATGCACCACACACTGAATAAGCTGCAGAACTAGTGCTGTTACCATCTGAATATACATAGGCTCTCCATCAGTGTCACTGCTGTTTAACCTGTTAATAAGAAAAGATGGCATTAACACTAAAACTAAACAAAAAAAATTAAAAAAAATGCTTCAAAAGAATATATTTGTAAAATAATTACTACAGCTAGAAGTCTATGGTCTAGACACTTATCTAGTAATTTGCTTCTCTCTTATGCAGTGCAAGATCTAACTTAACAAAACCAGTATTACTCTCAGGCAGAAGAGTTGAACTGAAACAGCCCACAGATGGGCTAGCAAAGTATCTGTAAAGTTCAGCAGTTGAAAATTCTACAGCAGTATTTAATAAATCAAACACCCACATGCTAAGGCACTCACTAATTGGCTTATTATGAATTATGTCATATCCATTTCCAACACAATGCACAAAAAAAATACACCTGTTGCCCTAATAATTTATATATATCATTTAAGGTATGTGAAACATGCAGGGTTTTTAAACAACAGAAAGTAGTGACTATGACCTAGACTGACTTCTGCAAGAGTTACACCTCTGGCATCTGAGGTAGCATAACAGACTTTGAATTTCAGGTGTCTTTAAGTTGGTAAAACCAGTATGAATACACTTCACATTTCTCCCATGACATAACTGCAGAAATAGTATGGTGTTTACTCATACATACACCAGGAACCCATCAGTGGGGCCGGATGCCTGGATCCTCCCTGGTGGGCAGGGGTGGGAAGGGAGGGTCCCCCCCTACTCCTCACTATGAGCCTGTGCAAGCGCCCTTAGTGCATGGTGACCAACCTCTTCTGCTTCAAGCACGGGGTCAATGTCTACTGCCTGGCACGGGCCACCAGGTGAGCATGGTGCAGTCAGACCTGCAGTGGCTGCAGGACAGCAGCTGCAGCTCCAGCTGTGCCCTCTGTGGGACCCCTCTAGAAGCCTGCCAGACTGTCCACCTCATCTGCTATAGGAGAAACCCCCAAAACTGTCATTTTTGGACACTGTGGGTCCCTGAAACCGCCAGAATCGGTGGTGCCTCTTCCTCAGGTGCTAAGCGTGGGGTCTCCCTTGCCTCCTCTCACTGCTGAGGACCTGGGGTAGGGTGTCCTTGTGATACTGGTGGCTCTGGCACAGGGCTTAGGCTTCACTGGCATCATGATACTGCTGGTGTGACCGCGGTGGGGGGTGGCTGGGGATAACTCCTCCTCCACCTCCCCATGGGGCACTGACACTCCTTCCCCCTCAATACCACCCAAACTCCCAAATACCTCCACTGAATTAAGTTGTTTTCCCCCACTCCTGTGATTATTATTATTATTTTTTAATTAAAAAAAACACAAGCACACAGGTGGATGGTTGGACTAGGTGATCATAGAGGTCTTTTCCAACGGCGATGGTTCTGTGACTTTGTGCTGAACACCACCCACTGCCACCCTTGATAATATAGAAAGGTGATAATCCCTGACTTCGTTCTCCCCAGATGACCAAAATACTAACTGGGCACAGAACACACTGCAATTATTACCTTTGACTATTTTTAGAAAGAAAAACTTTTCCTATCAAATTTTATGTGAGCTGTACCATCCATGACTGTAGCCCCAGTTAGAGAATGCCCTTTAACAGAGCAGAGTTAGAACTCTACAGATTAACAGTGCAGTCATTGTGTTCTTGAGACAGTGTCTTCCTTCTGTTACAGGTCCTAATTAAAAAAACCTATCTACCACTTATGGTCCTACACTACCACCTTCCTACTTGCTAGATCTCTCTGATATCTATAACCAAACAACAGAAAATACTAGCAAAAATCACTTAAGTTAATATTAGCTTCACTGAATCAACTTAAAAGTTTCAGTGTATTTCCTGTTTAGACAAAATCTTTAATTGACAATTTATCTATTTTTGGGAGCAAGATGAATGCAAGTAAGAAACAAAATAAACCACAACAGTAGAATAATTTGAATTAGAATAATTTGAAGTGTCCCAATCTCAATTTTAACTGAAAAAAGATTCAGTTAAAATTCAGCTCAAGTCAGCTAGTTACTAGGATTGAACCTTCACCTACACTATTGTTCTGAAGTTGCACTGATACCTAGCTGAAGTGCTTAAAGGACAGATAATGCGAACTGAGTAGTTCCTCAATGAAACTAATTAAAAGCAAGATTAGACTGATTTCCTTTCTGCAAAGACTTGAGTGTTTCCTCAAATAAATTCACCTGGAATTTTCCAATTAAACTTTAGCAATGAAGAAGTTATTTAACTCCATGCAAACAGAACTAAAGAATTTTCCAACAAAAAAATTCTGAATGCACACTAACATTACACGCATTTACATCCTTAATAAATAAAAAAATATTTTATTTTTTTTGTAAGCAGGCACAAATATGATGTAAGAAACAGTGATTATTATAAGACATTTGTCAGGCAATTGCTCTGGTTTTAAATATCAGCCTTTAAAGCAGTAGTTAATACTGAAGCCTAAAATCCTACAGAAGTGTAAATGCTACTTTCTACAATTTATTAATCTATGTCAGAAAAATTACCTGAAGTTTCTCAAACTCCTCTTGCTAGTTGGTAGTCTTGCAAGGGAAGTGAAAATTTCTTCTAGAATTAACTGTCTATGTTTTTCATACCTGGAGAACACCTATTTAACAGTGACACAGTTGTCAGAAAATTATTTACTGTTACATAAAATGTTGCTAGTTAACTATAATGCTCTAGTTTATATATATACACATGCACTTCACATGATAGTTAGATTATAATTAATGGATACCTTTTTTGATCTATTTTTTTTTTCAAAGCAAGTATTTATTTATAAATACATCGGAACTTTTACAAATACAGATTTTAAAAAATCTTGAAATAACATAAATGTGTAATACCTCTTAAAAATACCTTCTGTTCAAAAACTATATGTCAGTGGTAGAATGCACTGTATAGAAGAGTCAAGCAGTGTAATACTGAGCTTTCAGACTCTGGTACAGAGCAAAACTCCATGGTAACAAATTACATACAGCTGTAGAGCACATTTGAGTAAAGTTTTACTTCACATCCTAAGATTTAATGTTTGCTTTACACAAAATACTCCTTCTGTTTACAGGACGGAATGCTACTCCTTTAGTAGAAGAGAATACTGGAGTATGTATCATCCTTACAAAGATGGCAAACTACCACTTGAACAAATGCATCTGTATTGCACTGAAACAATATTTTATCTACTCCATGAATTGTTCACATAGCCATTTCTCTGGAAAATAATTTATTATCTTACATACAAGTATCCTACTAGTTTTGTTAAGACATTCCACTGCATAAACACAAGTCTTAACACAGGAAATAAGGAAAACCACATTGCTAAGATGTCTTAAGACAAGAAAGGATAGGTAAGAGGAAGGTGTTTCTGTTTACACTTTTAATAACATAACCAAAATTAAGAATTTCCTTGCTCAAGTAGGATATTTCTTCCTATATAGTACTCTGCATGTAGGGGCACCTCAGGTAGATTTATTTTTGTTTCTAGATTATTAAACAAACTGTAGAATTATGCAAGAATAAAATTAGTTCTGATCTCTAATTCTTTACCAGAGAGAAAATACAGCCTGTGTAAATTCCCTAATAACTCTCAGAAGCACAGGAACATAAAACTTCAAGTTAAAAAGTACTTACTGCAGTCACTAATTTGATGGCACATAACTGTAGTTCACTGACATTTTCTACAAAGAAAGGTGTTATCCCCATAGATGATACCTACCAATGGAAATAAATGATTGTAAGTATATTTGACTAGCAAACATATTTATGCACTTTCCCAAGTAGGTTTTTCATTCAGCAGATAAGGTACTCAGCAAGATGTAAAACTTCACATTATTTGCAAATAAAGTTATTAAAGGATACTGGAGAAAAAGTTTCTTTTCCCAAATAACAAATTTAAGAGTGAGAAGAAACAACCTCAAGTTGTGCCACAAAAGCTCAGATTGGACATTAGGACAATCTTCACTGGAAGGGCTGCCAAGCATGGGGACAGGTTGCCCAGAGAAGTGGCTGAGGCACCAATTCAACAAATATTTAGAAGTCACGTAGAGAGTTAAGGTCCTGGTTTAGTGGTGGGCTTGGTATTGTTAGATTTATGGTTGAACTTGATGATCTTAAGGGTCTTTCCCAACCTAAATGATTCTATGATTCTGTATTTGAATACAATGAGGTTAATTTTTTTTAAGTGTACAGGAAAAGCCATTAAATATTTCATAATTATATACTCTTCTTCTGCAGACTACTTATTACACAACAAAGCAGTCATTCTCATGTTAGTAATTCAAAAGTTTGTACTGATTTCACAGGAAGGCAGGGAAGAATGCCAGGAGACCTCCATGGATGAACAAGGAGCTCCTTGACACTCTTTTTGACATCTTTTCTCTCTGGGGAGAAATACAAAGAAGTCGTTTAAGCAGACAGAGAACGGGCCATGAACGTCAAGGGTAATAAGAAGGGTTTCTACAGGTACTTCAGTGATAAGAGGCACAACAGGGAAAATGTGAGTCCTCTCCAGAAGAAAACAGGAGACCTTGTTGCGCAGTATATGGAGAAGGCTTAGGAACTCAAAGATTTTTTTCCTCCGTCTTCACTGATAAGAGCTCTGGCCACGCTGTCCAAATCATGAAAGGCAAAAGCAGAGACCGGGAAAAGGAAGATCCCCCCACTGAGACAATCTATAGAACCTTCAAGTGCACAAAGTCCACGTGTGGCTCTTAAGGAAGCTGGCAGATGAAGTTCCAAGGCCACTTTCCATCATATTTGAGAAGTCATGAAAGTCTGGTGAAGTTCCCACTGACTGGAAAATGGAAAACATAACCCCCATTTTCAAAAAGGGGAAAAAAGAAGACCCAGGGAACTACAGGCCAGTCAGTCTCACCTCTGTGCCTGGCAAGAGAATGGGGCAGATCCTTCTGAAGGCTCTGCTAAGGCACATGGAAATATGGAGGTGGTTGGTGGCAACCTACATGGCTTCACCAAGGCCAAATCATGTCTGACAAATTTGGTGGTCTTTTATTATTGGGGTCACAGCATCGGTGGACAAGGGAAGAGCAACTGCTGTCATCTACATGGACTTTTGCAAAGCATTTGACACTGTCCCACATGACATCCTGGACTCAAAATTGTAAGGATATGCATTCAATGGATGGACCACTTGGTGGATAAGGAATTGGTTGGATGGTCACACTCAGAGACTAGTAATCAATGGCTTAATGTCCAAATGGAGACCAATGATGAGTGGCATTCCTCAGGGATCAGTAGTGAGCCTGGTGCTGTTTAACATCTTTGTCAGAAACACTGACAGTGGCATTGAGTGCACCCTCAGCAAGTTTGCTGACAACACCAATGTAAATAAATGATTTAAATTATATTTGACACACTGGAGACAAGGGAAATAATCCAGAGGGACCCTGACAGGCTTGAGAGGTGGGCTCATGCCAACCTCATGAAGTTCAGCAAGGCCAAGTGCAAGGTCATGCACCTGGGTCAGCACAACCCCAGTCACAAATACAGGTGGGGCAGAGAATGCATTAAGAACAGCCTTGAGGAGAAGAACCTGGGGGTGTTGGTTGATGAAAAGGTCAAGACGAGCTGGCAACGTGCACCTGCAGCCCAGAAAGCCACTGTGTCCTGGGCTGCATCAAAAGATGTTTGGCCAGCAGGTTGAGGAGGCAATTCTTCCCCTCTACTCTGTTCTCGTGAGACCCCACCTGGCGTACTGTGTACAGCTCTGGAGCCCTCAACACAGGAAGGACATTGCTCCTGGAGCAAGCCCAGAGGAGGGCTATGAAGATGACAAGAGGGTTGGAGCACCTCTTCTATGAACACAGGCTGAGACAGTTGGGGTTGTTCAGCCTGTAGAAGAGAAGGCTCCAGGGAGACCTCACAGCACCTTACAGATTTATGTTAGACGTTTGGAAGAAATTCTTGACTGTGAGGGTGGTGAGACACTGGAACAGGTTGCTCAGGAAGGCTGTGGAAGCCTCATCCCTGGAAGTGTTGAAGGACAGGTTACGTGGGGCTTTAGCAATCCCATCTAGTGGAAGGTGTGCCTACCCATGGCAAGGAGATTGGAACTAGATGATCTTTAAAGTCCTTTCCAACCCAAACCGTTCTATAATTCTATGATTCTATACTTTGCATTCTCTCTAGGAAAAAATCACATTCTCATGTGGAATACTTCTGATAAAGCTTACCTGAAGAATTGTTGTATCAGTAAGAAGCTGTATCTCTAGCAACTCTGACAAACTGCTTACAATGTCACAAACTTTGTTATACAACATCACTATAACTCTTTGCTTGTGCGTGGAACACTTGGCACGTTTTGCTTTTGAACTTAAAACACCACCTAGAAAATAAGAAGTGTTTTCATTAATTTTCTCAATGTTTCATATCAAATACGAGAAAGATCATCTTCCCCAAAAAGTGTTCCCAAAACAACTGCTTGACTATAGCTTTGTAAAAGCAATTGCTCACAGAATAAAAACTGCTCAGTAGCATCGACCACAAAGCAAGAATTTCAAGTTATATTAACTTTCCATAATTGCTTTAAGTTCTGGATTCATAATTTTTAAGAAGGTTCTTGAAGTTGCACACCTGTACCTAGAGGTATGTATATGACAACTAAATGCTATATGCTAAACAGTTTTCAATGAAAAAAAAATTATATACAGAGAAATAACTATATGTAATAACTATACATGGAAGTTGAACCTCAGACAAACTTCTAAATACTTTGGTTGCACTGACATTATTGCAGTAAACCAACATGTTGTATGACTAAGTTATTTTTTTTATTCTACACTTCATAATCCTTACACTAACACTAAATATTACTAGCACTACTAGTGTGCTATACGTGAAATGGAAGAACTATGAGTAGAAGAGTTGCATATAAAAATTTTAATCCGGAAAGTTGTATCATGGAAGAGTAGATTATCTTTTGAGGTTTTTTTTACTGTGAAAAGATTTTTTTAGTATGGAAAGATGACTTAAAATTTCTCAGCATACTAACCACCATGAGGATCCACTCTATACACAGGATCATACTGAGGATAGAGAGTGTTCTGCAAATGAAATTTTGTGTATTGAATTACTCTTTCTATTACGTCCTCAATATATACAGCTTTAGGCATATTTGGTGATGTCATAATATTGATGACAGTAAGACAAGCATCAGCAGATTTTGTCACTCTCTCCATAATAAGATCTCTCCATAATCTCTCCTCATCTTCAGTGTCATTGTTCTGAAATAGGCAGGAAAAACAGGAGAGTGTGAACATTACCTTAAAACACGTACATAAATGCACTATAAAATGTGGGGATTTTGATACACTAATAGTTTGTTTTAGAAATCAACTAATGTTTGTTTTACTAGCCACATGTTTGTAATATGACACCTTAAGTTTCAAGTCTTCAAAGTCTCACTGTATTCTGCTAGAACACAAAGAAGCTTTGTGTATCATTGGGAAGCACTACAAGGAAAGACTGCCACATACATTAGTGAACACTGATGTGCTTTAAGCAAAATCTGAACTCATTCATCTAGTGTTTTCTTCAGGGGCCTACGGACACCAGTTGCTGCTTTCATCAGTCTAATTACTGCCACTAGAGGGAATTCTTACACAAAAAGACTATTACAAGTCACATGAAATTCTTAAGTATATGACTTTCTCTGCTTCACAGACCAACCCATCTCTTAGCAACAGGTTTAAAACATGTCTCATCAAATATGACCATTTAGATTTAGCACAGGGGACGGAATCTCTGTATTTCTGTGTTTGCACAAGTTACAAAAACAAACATATATGAGGTTAATTATGATCACCCAGCACTACTTAAAATATTCTAATAACAATGTTTATAGCAAAACTAGGTAAAATTTTTCACAGGTTCTCTGGTAAAGACATAGCCTACAAAAAATAAGAATCTTTCTTGCCTATATGGCAACATAGTACAATACTGTTGGATTTCTTTGTAAAAATTAAAAGGCTGGTGAAACTGTATTAACTTTCTCCCTTCAGGTAAGAGAATCTAAAACAGTACCACAGAGCCTTATGTGTATGTATATTTGCAAAATCACCAGAAATCTGAAAGTCGGGAGATTCCTGTAAATTTCTTGCACAGAATGTCTTTAAGTACTTTGTCCCCTACAGAGATGAGGCTAAGAAAAAAACCCAAGTAGTTTTAAATATTTTGTTTTTTCTTCTTGCCCATTAATCTCGGAAATAAAAAGAATATGCAAACGCGTTCTGACCCTGAAAAACATCCTGACATGGATACAGGAGACCTCCACTGCACAGTAGAAGTAAGCTTACCTCTCAGCAGAGGCTGTCTTTTACCACAGTGATTTGAATAATTTTTAATAGGTTTTAGGAAAAATCTAAAACTTACTCGGCTGAAGGTTGTTTCTTTTTTTAATCAAATATATGTTTCTGAATTGGACAATTTCATTAATTGCTTAATAATCTTGAGTTTTACTACAAAAAGCTAAAAGAAAAACATCACTTTTTAAGTGTTAGCATTAAGGCTTACTCACAGTGAGGAAGAGCAGGTACACCAGCATCTTCTTCATCCTGACTTTTCATATTGCTAAAAACACTCAGAACATATCCTATGCTGGAACTTGAAAAACCCTACAAACTATCTAGATAAAAGTATTTAGGTGCAAATAATATGTATCTAGTTATCATTTTTAAGTTCAAATTCTTCCTTTCAAATATAAATACTCTCTGTTTTTGCAGATCAAGGTTATTTTCCCATAAAATTAATCAACTCTGCTCTTGCTAGAATACTGCTTTGATTAGGAAGTGTAGGAATAAAGAAATATGTGAAATACCATATATCATGGTATATCATAAAACCTACAAATCCCCACATAGATCTAGGTACGTCAGGACAAAATCCCCTAAAATCTTAAACTTCTGGTAATTTTGTTTACATAGACAACTTTTAATTTGAAGTGTAAGAACAGACTTAAGCAAAACACCTCCTTCTTTCCTAATCCTCAGGAGAATACATTCTACATAAAAGCTGTAGTCCTTCTTTCATTGTATAAGAGATGTTTTATGGACACATTCTAAAGAAGCAATGAGATGTCCAGCAGTGCAAATTACACCAGTTACTATGAGTATTTTAGGACAAAACCGTAATATTTAACATTAAAACAAAAGTTGCTTCCAATACACGTGTTAGTTATCAGTACTATAGCAAAACATGTTTAGTACTGAAGAAAGTTAATAAATTTGATTTAATTTCAAATCTTAAAATTTGGCACTCTCAGTCACACACATATTACGCGAACAATTCCATTCACACCTATACCAGTATTTGAAACTACCACTAAACAGGACTAAAGCGAAGACAACTCTGTTCTACACAATGTTGTGTAATTATGTGATTTGAAACTTACATGGTTAAGTAATGTAGAGAGCTTTGATCCATCTTGAATATTCTTCTCCAAAATATTCAGGACTTTTACTGTTTTATCTGTTGACAGCTAAAACAAGAAAAGAAACACATCAAACAACTGCTGCAACATAAATGCTTCCAAACTGCTGAAAAGAATGTCCATGGACAAAAGACTGAGCTTGCTATATACTCTGAAACATTTAAATTGTAAGCAATTTGAGATAAGAATTGGATCTTCTGTGGTTTCTGTCACATCACAACAGAGAATGTTGATAATATAACTGAATCAGATGAAATATATTCCAAGATTGCAATCAAATTGCATTTGTAACCCAAAAAATCCATAGAAATAAACTTTAAAAAGTGTATTTGCAATTGATGTTGTACAGTTATGCACTTCTGCTTCTAGAAACAGAAATTTACCAAATTCAAGTATCAATCACGAATTCTAACCAACCATATAGAGGTGCATTAGGAGAAAATCCAAATTCCATGAACAAGTAGAAATAAAGTTCCCTGATACCTGAGTGCTAATAAAAATTTTCTTAATATCAGTTTGAAGAATTAGCATGTTGAAAGAAGTACCTAAAACTCACTTATTTACAATTATGATTAAATAATTTGTAGAATATGCTAAACTCTAGAAGAGTCGGTTTCACTGTTGCTACTGGAACTCATCTTTAGAAGGAACAAAATGCTGATTTTAGGTATATTTGTGTGAAAAATAGCCAACAGGTGTTAAGGGTGAGAACTCTCAGGAACGACACACTCAGGCTGACAATTCACTACAGAGGAAAGTAGTGAGACTGAAGAAAGCCCAGGAATACTTTTGGATTAAAGAAAACCCTTCAGTGACTTTTACAATAAGAGGTGATACAGACACTTCATAAACATAGTTATGAGTAGGCAAAGTGAGAGTTTAACATAAGACTGCAAAAGGCAAGGATAAGGAAAGCAAGGACATTGTTGCTAGGGTGTTTGCACCAACAAAAAGTTGCTTTGACCTGAAAGCAAGAAGAACACAGCAAAAAACCCCATAATATGTGGCAAAGAAATCATAATATACAGTCTACAGAAAATAAATCCTAGTATCATCTAAGGTGTTAAATCCTGTAAGTTTGAAAGGCATTTTTGGAGAGTGGGAGAAAGCAGACAAATCAGTGTGACGCTGGCTGTACATCATACATTTACATTGCACTGATGGCATATATCAGAAAGGATGGATTTTTTTTACTTTGCCAGCAGGTTCTGCTTCACTGTGGTTGCTCAACACCACTGGTAAAGAGCAAAGCCTATAAAGTCAACATGCTTTTGTGAAAGTAGATTAGATTTTACTGCTCAGGGATACGTATTAGACAGTGGAATATAGTCAGCACTGACAGAGAGAAGAACCATTCAAAAAGAAAAGTCTCAGCTTCAGAGACAGCAACAGTTAAGAAGCTGTAACTTTTTAAGTACTTCAGCTAAGTCAGCAGAAGCACAACTGTTCACAGTATCTGTCACCAGCACACCTGAAGAGGTTGGAATGTCACTGCAGTGAACATAATCTTTTGCATGTTTATAAAAAATTACATATTCAGAAAGAGTTAAAGACTATGATGATGTACCTTGTCCATAATGCCCATTGCTTTGATTTTTGCAGACTCACTACCCAACTCACTAAGCTGATGTTTTCCCAGTAGCAATTCCTGTGGAATTTCATCATCATCACCTTTAAAAAAAAATATTTAAAAATTATTAATCTGCATGGAAGTAAGTATTTTACAGTTGATATGAAAAAGCCTACTGCAGAGAAAGAACAAATTTTACAAATAGCCAGCATCTAATAGTTCCAAATAAATAGCACCTAATGAAGGCTGGTGACAACAATGACTACCTGTTAAATATGACTGGTTCTGAAATATCATTCAACAGCATGAGTTACCCATTTCTGAGAGTTATAAACTAAACACTTTGATATAGAAATGCCATTCATTGCAGCTCTTCTGCCAGCCCTCTCATTTCAGTAAAACACAAGGACTCTGCTGCTTGAATTGAATAATCAAGCTCTGATCAAAGGCCACAACAGATGTAAAATTATGTACTTCACACACTACTAGCAAAAGAACCAACTTATGTTAGTCTTGTTTTCAAAAATATGTATGACAGAAGGTGACACCTTAATGACAATCCAAACAGGTATCCTTTCCAGGACTACTATTTGTCCCATGATTTACAATTCTTTTGGATTCTGCAGGGAGGAGCAAGTGAAACTGAAAAGGTAAAGGCCACCAGCACACAAGGTAGAAGCCATATAAATGCAGTACACCCTAACATCTATCACAGGCAACTAAATTACCAAGAAGAAAGTTTGAAAATATTGAGACACAAAATTTTAGTGTTTCTTGTGATTCTAACTGGGGAAAGCATTTTGAACATTTCTGACACATTACCAAAAGCTGTAAAATCCATGTCTTCTAAGTTTTCCAAAATATTCTCTATTGAAGCAGTAAACCTTTTGAAAGTTGAAGAATCCATCATTTCTGGTGAAAAAACAAATTTAAAAAAAATTATTTTTCATACAAAAAATCCCCAAATCAAATTGTAGAGAATAAATCTTCTAAAATTACCTTCAGGCGTTAGTTTAGGTTCATAAGCTTTCCTCTTTTTTTGTTTTTCTTTCTTCTTCATTTTTCTAGCCACTAAGTAAGAGAATAACGAGAATATAAAAAATAAAGGATTGTTGACATTTCTTACATATATTCAATACTATGTGTAAAGATGTTTAAGTGTTCAACATATCAGTTAAAATGCAGTAATATTATGGAATAAAATTAAACTTTAAAAATTATTACCATCACTAAGGCTAGGAGGAGAAGAATAATCATCCATATCAGAGTCATCAGGACTGCGATTGCGGTACCGGCCACTACCAGAAGTCCTCCTTCCTTCATGATAATGACCACTTCTCCTGTGTTCACTAGAAACTCTTCTGTCATGTTCTTCATACTCCCAAGCTTCATCTCTATCCTTTTTATGTCTTTTACGAGAAGCTAGAAATGAAATGCAATGTCAATACAGATACAACATTTCTCCTTTTAATAGCTCAAAATTAAAGATTTTTAAACAAAGAAAAGGCATGTAGATGTGGTACTTAGGGACATGGTTCAGAAGGGACTTCACAGTGTTCATGTTACAGTTGGCTTCAATGATCTTAAAGGTCTTTTTCAACCTAAATGATTCTATGATTTGCAAGTTAAACACTATTCTATAGCTGTTCTTGAAAACCAACGACACTGAAACTATGACCAAAAATTCTGTTAATAGTATTATTCTAATGCTGTCTTTTGATTTACATGAAAACTGTGTCTGAAATTGGCAAAGATTCCATGTAACGTTAAAAAAAAATAATTGAGCATTTGTCCTTTTAAGCAAAGTAAATAAAGTGGAACAAATAAAAATAAGTTTCATCCTTTTGTAAAAGAATACCAAGAGAATTTCTTCAGTTATCTAAATGGTGACTATCACTGGGTAGCAACAGAGAATACTCCAATTCAGTGATTGCGTTGCCCATCTAACACAGTAAGTTCCAATAAGACCTGGCAATCAAGTTCCTTAAAGATACTCTGTCCTGCCAAGACAACTAAACTTTTTATTGATACGTATTGCAGGAAATTTAGTATAAAGGAGAAAGCTGAAGTCACAATTCTGGGCCACAGACCAAGTCAGTACCACAGAAAGTTATTATAACAAATTTTCAGTCAGGACCAAAAAGCCCAGTGGAGTAAATGTTGAAGAAATTGAGATAAATATTCTATATTGAAACAGAAATCTGGTGGAAAGAAAGGTGGGGAGCAAAATGGAGTATTCTCTGTTATTCTCAAAGAAAATCTTGTGTGTCTTGAAGGGGAGAGGGTGCTAAGGTGGAACTGAAAAAGAAATAGAGGGGGTAGCTTCATCCATGAAATCAGCCAGCTCTCCACTGCCTCATGTAACAGAGTAACTGGGCTAGCAAGGAGATGTCTTACACAGACTGTGCTGTAAAAATTAAAACAGCTCTAAAACATCACATTCTAGACTAGCAGAATTCATGCTTGTGAACTTGCATAGAACAGCCCTGACATCTGTTGTGTTTCTGTCAAAGTCTTCTGAAGTTGAGAGAGGTATGACTGTATATCGTTTTTGTTTACACTACTGTATACTGTGCTGAGAAAAAAGGCTCCAAGCATTTATACAGAACTGGAACGGAACTAACAAGTTCTCTACACAACTCCACTTTGTTGAGAAGCATAAGAAACATACGAGGATATAGTCACACCTGGTACAAAGACCAGGATACAGTCATTAGCCAGTTCATGCTCAGAATTAATAAAAAAACCTAAAACATTTAAACCTGAGTTGATACTAATGCTCTACACTGCATGCTAGAGGGCTCTCAATTCTGAACATGTAGTACAAAAACTTTTGCACAGAGGTGGTCTAAGCCTTTAAAGCAGTTACTTAGTTCAGGCTTTGAACTGTATAGTTTCTGGATTTGACTTGGTTATAGATCTGACTTGCTTCTAGAAGCAGCACAGTCACCTGTACCCTAAAACAGCTGAGACTTAACTGCAATTAAAGGAATGCAGGGCCATGTGGGTATGTGGAGTGAGCATTTTGGAGAAAACGGTGTGTTATGGGAAAAGACTTCACATATCTTAACTGTTTTTCCCCAACCAGACAGTATTTTGTGGAGACAGATGACATCTGTCACCACAGTTGACAAATCATGAGTATCAATTTAAGCTCTGTAGGACAAATTCTGATCCCAGCTACACCTCCAAGATGCATGTAACTTCCAATATTGCTTTCCTGCAAAATTTTAAATTGACCAGTTTATCAATGCTGCATGACAAAACAGGAAGTGTTAAAGTTGGGCTGGTTCTGCAGGGTAAGTAAGATGAACATAAGTTATTCACAATCAGTGCTCTAAAACATGGATTTTGAAGAAGATAAAATTGACTAAAAATGTAAGTATTAATAGTATTTCAAGAGCTAGTATTAATTTTACACACAAAGACTACTTGGAACAGAAAATTTTCTTCTGAATTCTGCCAAATACTTATTCAGTAACACACTGTATGAGGATGATTTAATCAATTTTTTGTTTCTCATAATTTAATTGAATGCCTCTTCTTCATGAGATACTCAGAGAAATTTCTTCTATAACAATCCCTACTTAATATTTTTTGAAGTTCAAATTTAGACAAGTAAAAGAATTCTGAAATACATATATATAACAACACAAATATGTTAATTGTACTCAGAAATCTTTTGTTCCTTTTGTGTAATTTTAATTCAATTCAGTTCCACGGTATCCTTTGAGAAATATTATAAAAACCAAGTATCCTCAATGAATTACTTGGCATGACGCCAGATCTCTGAATGGATAAAATTAGATCATCTTTAAGGTCCGTCCAACCAAAACCATTCTATGATCCTATGGTTCTATGATAATGAACCTAGAATCCCATAAAGCATAAAACTCCTGTGAAGTTTTCCTGATTTTTTAAAAAATTTTGTATTTAGGAATTTCAACAGTCACTGTCGCTAATAGGTAGATTAAGGTATCTGAAATTATTGACAATTCTCTCCATTTCCAACCAACTTAAATAATTTTTCTTTATTTTTTTTTTTCATTTACTGTTCCAAATTATTCGATCAATAACAGGTGATACAATAAACAGAGAATGCAGAATTCTGAATGAAGAAAATAATAATTAATCCTTTGCCAAAATCAAGACTGATTACAAATTACTTCAAGGTCTCATACTCATAGCAGCATTATTCAGTTATAATTTTAAAAAAACAACCAAAAAGAAAAGAACACTATTTTCTGCCTCTTTGATAAAGACCAAAGGTACTGCTATTCTAATTTTTATGTGAATTGGTGCATTAAGTACTGAGTATCTGTTGTGTAAGAACTTGAAACATAATAAAAAGCAAAACAAACACATTTTTCACTTTTGGACCCTAAGAAATACTTAAAAGCAAAACACTGTATTTCACAAAAGTTCAATAAGATGTTTACATGGGCAAAGATGGAAAGATTCTAAACTTGGGAAAAAATGGCTTTAAGCAAGATGCCTTCTTGTTTTAACAGCAATAGGCACTTCTCCTATAGCCCTGCATGGGTAACACAGCCAAGATGGTAACTCACACTGAACTGACTCACTCCATTTTAATGGCTTTTCAGTGTTGGCTAACTGAACTACCATAGACACAAACTGATTATGCTTTTATTAGCAAGTAGGAATTAACTTCCTAACTCAGAGGCATATAACAGGTTTTTTTACACTTAGGAACTTCATCTCACTGCACAGCAAAATTCTAACTACAAGCGTCTTGTTCTTCCTTTGAAAACGGTTACTTCAAGAAAAGTACAATCACCAAATGGTATTTTAAGAACCCGTCAAAAACACTTTTTCAAGCAATACGCCAGAAAAATAATAGAAGAAATACATATTTTAAGAAACTTCATGGCAGTAAGACTCTCAATTTATTATGTCAGGAAATTCAAGATGGGATCCTTCACTTTTCTTATCAATATATCTAAGAATAATTTGAAATTTATTTCCTGAACTTTTTCTTTGTGTACCTTTGTATTTAAGTTTTCTGTGCTGCTTTAGAGGGTATTTTCCTTAATCTGACTGGCTAAAAATGCTCCACAGCACAACTGAAAAAAAAGTACATAGGCAGCCACTTCCCATAAGGTAATTAGCAAAAGAAATTTAATAACTAGCTGCTTCTCATCTTGAGTGACAAATTTTATCGATAATTTTCTTTAAAGGAAATAAAGTGTTCTTGGCCAAGTAGTTGCCGGGACAGGAAACCTGTTTACGTATGTTCTAGGGTAGCCAACTTTAAAAAAAAAAAAAAATTGTGTATTTTTGTGAAAGCAAAATATTAGCTTTTTTTAGCAGTAGAAACAGAACAACGTACTACTTACATTCAAAAGCTTCTTCACTGTCATTGTCTTCATCAGAACTGATTTCAGCATATTTTGGTTTCTCGTTAACTGTGCTACGTTTGCGCTTGTTCATTTTCACACGTTCACAAAGTGGCATGGTGGATTCAATTTCTGCCAGGAGCTCAGGAGGCAACTCCTTTAACACTGACTGATCTATGCTACCTATTAATGGAGAGTAAAAAGAGCAAATGTGAACCTGAAGATAAAAATAAGGGCCCAACCCTACAGTCCTTTCTCAGGAATCTCTTAAAGTATATCCACTAACAATACCAAAGTTAGGTATACCTGCGTGTATTTGACAGTCCTTTATACGGTTGCATTTATTGTTCACACTACAACTAGAAATTAACATAGTAAGTAGCATACACATCTCCTTGAATTAAAAAATATTTTGTGAGGCATATAAACATATTCAAATTGGTGAATTTCATTTATAAAATAGACCTGCTCTACTTCCCCAAAACTTAAGTCTTATTTCAATTCATCCTATGAATTTAACAGGTCTTCTAACGGCGTAGTGAAATTAAGTACTCTTTGTGTGCCTCCTTCTCAGCTCTGTTTACTCTCATTCATATTATTTAGTGTACACAAGACAGAAATCTTTCCTGTTCCAGCAGGTAAGGACAATCTGTGGCAGATCCTCTGGAGTCCTGTCCCTAAGCACAGGCCAAATCATTGACATGCCAACCTCTGACATCAATTTCTTCTTACCTCCCATCAGTAGTTTTACAATGCAACCAAAGTTGCTGCTTGATTTTGCTGGAAAGCAAAGCTCAAAAACTTCTGTTTATAGGTAGACAACATAACACCACTCTCATTGAAACTTGAAACTACAGTTAGACCCATATGCAGTGACAATGAAGGAGATTTGCAGTGAGAATTTTTACAATTAATGCAAGGAAATAAATTAATTCCGAAGTATTCATTGGAGTTCTGTTTATTTGATGTCTTAACCCTTTCCATCTTCCTTCCCAAGGCATGATGTTCTTTTCAGAGAGGAAATCAGCTCTCAATGGCTGTATATACACACAATTCTAAAAAAAAAATTAAAATCTAAATGATTATTCCCTTTTTAAAATTGCATTCACTATATCACCAACTGATCTTTCAAAAATTTATTTCCATTTTTCTACTAGCATCCTTTCTTCTAATCCAAGGTAAGCCTTTTTCTTTTTTTCTTTCCTCTTTAAACATCTTTAGCTAGAATTAGAAGGGCCTTACTATGAGAGGATAGTTTCCAGCATCAAAATTTTGTAAAAGTGTCATATTTAACTTAAAATATTGCGGTTTTCAAAACTGCTACTGCACAGTTCACAGTATGGTTGACCATACTGCTGTGACATGAATATTCTTTGTGGTTTGGGCATTTGATTGAAGATAGGCAGAAGAATGTCAGATCAGTTCCTCTCTGGTGTGGCACCAACTGCATGGATGACAGTCAGGTCTAATGTGGATGCTGCATGAGCAGTGGTGTCCCCACACTGATACTTAGTGTCTTTTGTAGGCCTATACAGTGCCTGAAAGATCTGGCTTGCATCCAGCCTTAGACCAGAGCAAAATTCACAAACACAAATTTTAAGACAATTTCCACAGGTGAAATCAAGAGGGCCTCAGATCCTGGGTCTCTTAACACATTCTCAGTTTTATGCACTATTGGTAATTTAACTGAAATCAGCAAGACTACACACACAGTATAAAGTCTACAGTAACTCTGGCCAAATGAAGACATTGAAAAGCTAGCTACAAGTAAAGGAGCAAAAGTTGCATTGAACAGCCAAACAACAACCTCCTCCTATGTCCTAGGAAAATCTCTTCTTGCTTTCCTTACTGGTTTCATTCCCAGGATAGAACACAAATCAATCTTTCAAAATAAATCAATTATCACAGTAATATCTCAACATGAATTAAAAAATAAGAATACAACTACTTTAAATATTTGGAAAAATAACTTTGTTTCATTCTCAAAAACTCCAAGTCTCCCTGAGTCACTCAGGGATCAGTGCTGGGTCCAGTCCTGTTCAACATTTTTATCAATGACCTTGATGATGGGACAGAGCATCTTCTCAGCAAATTTTCTGATGACATGAAGCTGGGACGATTGGCTGATTCACCTGATGGCTGTGCAGCCATTCAGCAAGATTTGGACAGGCTGGAGAGCAAAGAGAAACCTAATGAAATTTAACAAGAGCAAGTGCAGAGTCCTGCACCTGGGGAGGAACAACAGAATGCACCAGTACAGGTTAGGAGGTGATCTGCTAGAGAGCAGCTCCATGGAGAAGGACCTTGTAGTCCTGCTAGGTAACAAGTTATCCATTGGACAGCAATGTGCCCTTCTGGCTAAGAAGGCCAATGGTATCTTGGGATGCATTAAGAGGAGTGTCTCCTGCAGATCAAGAGAGGTTCTCCTCCCCCTCTACTCTTCCCAAGAGACCTCTCCTGGGAGTATTGTGTCCAGTTCTGGGCTCCCCAGTTCAAGAGGGACAGGGATCTACTTGAGAGAGTCCAACAGAGGCTATGAGGATGATTAAGGGACTGGAACAACTGCCTCAGAGACTTGGGGCTGTTTAGAGAGAAGACTGAGAGGGGATCTAATTAATGTCTATAAATACATGAGGGCTGGGTGTTAAGAAGGCAAGGACAAGATATTTTCACTTGTCCTGTGATAGGACAATGGGCAATTTGCTTCTAGTTTGTATGTCTTTTTAAACAGCTAAAGAGCACATAACTTTACTAAAAAGTTACTCCCCAGGTTAATAAGAATGCCTCAATAACTTAGCTTTCTTAAGATCTGTCCTCATTGACAGAAATGGGATATAGGCAACAGTGTTCTTCAGTCATAGCTTATGCAAATTCTGAAAGCTGCTGCAAATATTAAACAAAATAACCAACCAAAAAACCCGCAAACAACCAAACAACCAAAAACTATCATAATAACAAAATCTTTGTCTCACTGTAAAGAAGAGCATGCTGACAAACTCTACATTAATGAAATTGAATGGCAAACCACAGAATAACTGTAGTAACAATGACTATCCAAGAACCACATACATGAGCAGTCACTTCTCCACAGCTTCTCCAAACATATGCAGTGCTGTCCATTACTTACATACTAGTTACTTGCTGGAGGAAGAAAATTAAAACATATAAGTTAATGTTTCTGTTTGATTGCCACTATCAAGAGGTTTCCTACAGAAGGCATTAAAGAATATTCAGGTGTTAGTGAATATCTACTGACCATCAAGGTATTTTTTTTCATAAAGCAGCTATTGACAAAATATAATACAGTTACAGATCAGCCAGAGTTTTAGCTAAATGTTAATTAGTTTGTAAGCCTCCCTCCATATTGTATTTTAACCTGAGAAGCTTTTCAAAAGGTTTTGCCATGTATAGAATCATAGAACCATAGAATCATAGAATCTTAGGGGTTGGAAGGGACCTTGAAAGATCATCTAGTCCAACCTCCCTGCCAGAGCAGGGTCACCTAGAGTACGTCACACAGGAACTCATCCAGGTGGGTTTTGAATGTCTCCAGTGAAGGAGACTCCACAACCTCCCTGGGCAGCCTGTTCCAGGGCTCTGTCACTCTTACAGTAAAAATTTTTTTTCGGATATTCACCTTGAACCTCCTATGCTCCAATTTACACCCATTACCCCTTGTCCTATCACTGGTCATCACTGAGAAAAGCCTAACTCCGTCCCCCTGACACTCACCCCTTACATATTTGTAAACATTGATGAGGTCACCCCTCAGTCTCCTTTTCTCCAAGCTAAAGAGACCCAGCTCCCTCAGCCTTTCCTCATAAGGGAGATGTTCCACTCCCTTCATCATCTTAGTAGCTCTGCGCTGGACTCTTTCAAGCAGTTCCCTGTCCTTCTTGAACTGAGGGGCCCAGAACTGGACACAATACTCCAGATGCGGCCTCACCAATGCAGAATAGAGGGGGAGGAGAACCTCTCTTGACCTACTAACCACACCCTTTCTAATGCACCCCAGGATGCCATTGGCCTTCTTGGTCACAAGGGCACATTGCTGGCTCATGGGCATCCTCCTGTCTACCAGGACCCCCAGGTCTCTTTCACCTACACTACTCTCCAGCAGGTCAGCCCCCAACCTGTACTGGGACATGGTGTTGTTCTTCCCCAAATGCAAAACTCTGCACTTCCCCTTGTTGAATTTCATCATGTTTCTCCCCGCCCAACTCTCCAGCCTATCTAAGTAGAAGAAAGATTTCTACAAATACCTAGTGGATGTAGCATCTCTCTTCTTCACATATGGCTTAAAAATAATGGAAAAGCACAGATCTGATTGAGAGTTCAGCATCTGCTTTTTATAACAATTTGATGGGTAGTTTCAAGATTGTAGAGCAGTCTTTAACTTTAGCTAACATTGACATGTATCTAATCTTTAGAAGGATTGCATTTTTAGAATGATTAAATTTTCAAGTCAAATAGATCTCCCTCATCCAGGCAGACAACTGCCTTCAAGAAAAGTTGAACATGAATGGAAAAAAAAAAAAGTAAACATCATTATGGACTTTTACTGGGTCTATTCAATACAGATAGTACAGTTATTTCTTGACGTAACAATCAGTATTTTCACATCAGTTTCACCCAGCTTGACAAAACAACTTTGAAAAACCAGCTATAGAAAAGCAGATCACGCTTACTGATGCTTAGGTCAGTTTTCCAGGATCAGAAGGGCCATTCCTGTCATGAAATCAAAACCGACACTAATAAACTCTCTTGTCTTCCCAAGTAATGATTTACCTTTGCTTTCCAAACTATGGAAAACAGATTCATAGTTCACATTTTGGTGCCATTTCCTACCAACTAGCAAGCCATCAAGATTCAAATACATTTAGAAACCTGAACTCCACATTCCTACTTCCGTAACTGTAAGAGAGTTAACACAGCAGAAACAACCCACATTGATTTGATTATATGGTTACTTTCCAAATACTGTGACATCAAAGCAACCTGTTTACATGCATATCTATCATGTCAAATGACCAACGTGCCTGAAGGAAAAATGCCCCCAAAGACATTATCTGCTACTAGATTCTTCTGATTTTGGGGTTGACTAGTATACCTTTTCTTGCTGTTATTCCACTGAGGCCAAGCTCACTTTCCTTACATGTCCTCCTAAAGACATATATTTGATA